ACTAAAAATATAAGCATGGTATACTGGGTTTATAATAATATGAATAACTATGCAAAAAAAAGAAAAAAAGATTAAACTCTACAAAACATGTGATAAGATATTATATTGGTTTCAAAGTTATGAAATTAAAAGATATCATTATTACAAACTACATTCTTAACAGACTGAAATCTTATGCAATATGTATTGATCAGATTGCCGGGTGTTTTGATGTTCTTTCTCTTTTGAATCATAATCAAACATTAAATCACGTTCCCTATTGTCACAATATGAAACCTTAGAAAAAAGTAACTAATGAACGAGCATCTAAATATTTTTTATGATATTTCTATTTCTCTGCCGTCACAATAAGAATGAGCCAATGCTCTAGGGTACTGATCACTCCTGTAAAGTTTGGTTAAATCCTACCAGTAGTTTGACATGTGAAGGCCGGACAACATTTTTCTATTTTTAGCTCTGTCGGCCATTTTATGCACCGAAGCGGAATGTGCCGGTAAAGTGCACAACTAGGGATGGTACTGATCACTCCTGTAAATTTGGTTGATATCCCACTAGTAGTTTGACCTGTGAATGGCGGACAAGGTTTTTCTATTTTTAGCTCTGGCGGCCATTTTGTGCAGCAAAGCGGAACGTGTCGGTGATGTGCACAACTATGGACGGTACTGATCACTTCTGTAAAGTTTGGTTGAAATCCCACCAGTAGTTTGACCTGTGAAGGGCTGACAAGCTTAATGCGGACGGACGGACAACCGGACGGACGGACAGACGGAGAAGACAAAAACGATTTGTCTCCCAAAAATTTTAGGAGACATATTAAACACTAAATTCTACTCGCCCCAGCAAAAATCAAAATAAATTTATTAAAATTAAACATTTTTTGTCTAATCCTAACTTCCAAAGGACATATTTCTTCACTGAATATTGAAATCATGCTAAATAATGTCTTATTTAAATATTTATCATTTTAAAGAGGTACCATTGAAATCAACTTAGAAATTCGTGTTTTAAGACACTATTTTTTACTTGAGAAATAAGTTAATGGGCGCCGTCATTTTGGCGTTCTTTCACTCTCGCGAGACAGACGAGACCGAGATTATGACGTATTACGCCCACTTACAGTATATTCATTCATTTAATATCATTATTTGAAGCACGGATTTATATTACAATAAATTTATGCACCTTTCGTATTGTCGAGTATCGCGTTGGTGCACGACAAGATATCTTAGCATTTATATAGGGTTAACTGGGAGTGTCCGATCCCTGTAAAATAAATCCGTGTTTGAAGGCAGAAAATTTGCAGATTTACTATTTATAGTATTCTATTTCTGATATCAAGTTTTTATTCTAACATTGGCTTTCCCCTTTAATCATGATTTGCTTGACTTTGTTTGACTTTGCAGTGTTTAGTAGAACAGGTAAATTTTGATTAAGCACCGGTAGAAGCAAGACAATGCAATACAATGTTATTCATAATATCACTTCGTATTGTCGAGTATCGCGTTGTCGAGTGTCGCTTCGCATTGTCAAGCGTCGGTTCAAGTTGTCGAGTTTCGCTTCGCACACATTGTCGAGTGTACATGTAGCAGTGTTTAAAATCAGAAAAATAACCCGACATTTTTACAACATTTTAAAAATATCGCTTCGCTATGTCGAGTGTCGTATCGTATAATCGTATTGTCGCTTCGCATTTCTGCTAACCCGACACCCGACAATGCGAAGTGATAATGCAGCAATGCGAAGTGACAATGCGACAACGCGAAGTGACGCTCCACCATGCGAAGCCATATTCAACAACACGAAGCGATATTTCTAAAATGTCGCCCTTTTTACCATGACATTTTAAGCGACAATGCGACATATCGTTTGACTTTGTCGAGCGTCGCCTCGCATTGTCGCACGTCGCTTCGCGTTGTCGAGCGTCGCTTCGCAATGTCGCGATGTCACTTCGCATTGTCGTGTGTCGACCCTTAGACGCGACGGACGACATTATAAATGACACGATAAGGACACCTTAGAAAAGTGGAGCTGAAAATGATACACGCGTCTACTTGTTTTTAACAGAAATCGTAAAAAGAATTATAATCAACTTTTTTAGTATACTTTCAAGACAGTTAAAGTTCATTCTTTGAAAGCAATATGATACAAAGATAATGGGTCACTTGAGAATCTTAAATTAACCATTAATCAATTATTTCTAGTTTGCTTTATAGGCTTTAACATTAAACCTAGTTCAGTGTTATCTAATTTTTCGCATTTCAGTATTCATGTCAAATTCTTTACAAATGCTTTTGTATTACAATGTATTACTTTCATCTTCCTTTTTTTTCTTTTTTTTTTGCAATACAATATGCATTGCATGGCTGAGATTTCTTAAGCATTACGTATTTATTTATGTATCGTTTTATGATCTCTCTTCATGCGTATTTTTACTTCCTCATACACATCGTAACAGTCGTTGTTGGTAGCTGGATTTAAATCAAATCTTGTCTGCATTAATGTGTCATATTTCAGGTGTATATAAAAGGTAAATCAAATCGAGTAAAATAGAAGAACGATCAATTTTGTGCATTGGATTTAGTGATGGAAGATTAAAAAATAAGATGAGGTAGATTTTTATATATTATCTTTCTTCTTATAGAAAATAATGGGAACAATAAAATAGAGGATGTTAGTCAGTTTTGAGCGAATATACGATATATCATGCTGAGAAGTGAAAAAATCGCAATATTTTCACGTACGCGTAGATGTGGTACAGATCTTTTTACAATACGATTTTTCCATAGTAACGAATGTTTCATTTCGCTTATGCGCATTCTGCGTAGGGCAAAAACGCAATAACGATGACTACAATTTATCATATTTAAAGGCTTTAATAGACGTGATTTCAAGTTATGTCACCCAGAAAACAGTAATTTATGGATGACTTAAAACAGTAAGTTCTTAAAACGTTTATTGTATCTATAACAGATATACGAATCTATAAGGGAATAATGATTCAATGAAAAAATGCGCATGTACAAGTCCTCTTTTTAAGATATTATTATACGTCTTTTCCATCAGATATTTAAACTGAAACAGCAGGGTGTTAAAGATTAAATTTTGTATACTCTTGTATACATAATAATGCGCAGTTTGTATTGTACACTTCCTTTGAATAAGTGGATTGGCAGGGCGGTAAGTACCAAACAAATTGTCATGTGACCGGCTGTTTATTTAAAACATTATTATCTTGTACTCAAAGTAGCATTTTAAATAAAACCTCAATATTTTTATATTTAGAGAGTTTGAAAGTTTATTCAATTTATTCCATAAGGATATTCGCCCATGATGACACTACAAGCATACATATACATGTATACATGTACTAAACATGTAATTTAGCTAATGTTAAAAGAAATATGCAATAACCATATTGCATTTTTATCATTTTTAATGAGTTTATATTTATTGATAACTACTTTCTGCATCGTGCTGATACCGAGAAATAATCTAAATGAATTGTATACGACTAATGTCATTTAATGCCCCTTTTATCAATTATTAAATGCATGTATTATCAACAACTGTCACTTTGTAATAACTTAATTTTTTCAGTTGTATATTATATCCGCCATACAGTTGTGTCTTGGACATGAACTTGTATATGTTTATGCCAAATAAAATATTGAATTGAATATTTCCAGCTAGTTTACAATATCATCTAACCTGGGCGTTTTAGTACCGTGACATATTTAATTACGCAAAATTATGAAAATCGTAATTTAAGTAACTTTTACATATACGAATCACATCAATGTTTATTGATTTTGTGAAGTGACAAATAGTGTGACGCGCATTCACATGTGTTACGAGAAACCGGATGATAAAAAGTGTGTTATTTCCCTACCCACTACCAATCTTAATTTTCTCGATGTTTTGAAAATTTTGTTTATTAAATTTTGTTGAATTCTGCTTAAGCCGGTGCTAGGGGGCGTGGGCGGTAACTTGCACTTTCCAGTACCGTCCATGAACAGGCTCAATCAAACTGAGCCTGCAACTTTTTCAATTTTGTTGTGTTGGACTTTCTTTAGGGATTCTGTTTTTCTCTATTGGATTTATTACTAACTTTAATAGGAACCTGATGAAATGCACTTGCTACATCAAATCTATTATGTCGTCTACTCTTGGCAAGGAATAACTTGTCTTAACTGTAATGTTTTTTTCAATTTCCTGAAATCAACACAGAACCGCTTGGTATTGTCTTCCTTATTTATTAAAAGCATGGGAAAACAACAAGGACTATGGGGCAGATTAATAATATTTGCCTGTAATATTTGTTTAATGGCGTCATCCATGTCTTTTACGTTTTGTAAAGGAATTCTATACGAATTAAATAATATGGGTGGTGTCAACCGTATTAATTTCCATTTGAATCGTGTCTGTTACAGTAAATTCGGCATTATTCTTCGCAAAAACACCTCTATTTTCTTTCAATAATTTGACAATTGTATCTTTATGTGATGGTGGTACCATAACGTTCTAATAATCATTTTCATCGACAGAAATTTCATCGTTATCTACCTCCTGTAATGTAGCCAAATGGCATTCAACCTTAATTTTAATCATTCTATTTGATTTATTGATAATTAATGTTGGCACTTGTCTATTTGAGCGTCAATGAATAACAGAATAGATTATCTTCAAATTTGGCACAGAATTTCTGAAGCTATTTGAATAATCTTATAATTTCTATTATCTTGCACAACACCCCTGCTGTTTTATTATTTTCCCAATCACAATATGCAATTTTTTTTTCTTTTTAAAGATATTATTTTCGAATCCACGCATTTAATACTCTCAATCAGAATATAACAGATATGTATTCGTAAACAATTTGAATCGTAATATTACCTTACAGCATTTTTCGATATTAAATCGCGCCCTAATAAAGAAGATCGATGTATATTTTCTTCTGTGTAAAATATCGATTTATCTTTACAAATCTCATTCTAAATGGTAATTCTATGCAACATTTTACAGACAGTGGCTGTCTATTGAAAGATTGCAAAATTTTCAGACTTATTTATTTACTTGGGATTACTAAGTGACTGCAATATTTCTAAATTTTGTAATAATTTACTGGTAATTATGATATAATTGCAGACAAAGGAATTCGTAACTTATTCTTGATAGGAGCAAAATACAGAATTCCTTTTTAAAATTGACTTTAATTATTGTCGTAGTCAGATATATTGAGGAATCGATTGAGGAATTTTCGTGAAAATGCGGTAAGTAATGCTCTAGTTATATGGAAACTTAACATCTTTAAAGTAACTGATTCATTTTAATCTTCTTTCACCTAAGCTTAGACTTACCTTAAGACAACATCTAAAAAAGGATATTTTAGTCTTCACTCAAAATTTGTTTTGGTACCAGCAGACAAGGCGGCTATTAATATTATTATTGTATAGCCTATCCATAACATCAACGTTTTGCAAAATGAACTTAATAGTACAAATGCATATTCTAAAACAACACTATTAACAATCATAACACTCAGATTTCCAATCTTAAAGTCCGAATTGATGGAAAAGAACACAAACTTCCTATTATGTACTGGATTCCTACATTACAAGGACAGATACATTGCTAATTCTACCTCTTGCTCTACATGTAAATTTTCTATTTTATTGACGTCATGTTTGACATGTAATTAGATATTGTGATAAAGACAACGAAAACACAGCCGAACACCTCTTTTTGGTCCATAAAAAAATTCTGGTGAAATTTTGGATAAATCTAAAATTAACTATCAAGCTTCACCTGGCAGTACATAACGATTTTCCAACCCTTTATATATACAACACTGCCACTTAAATTGATCTATGGTAAACTTATTTTCCTTTTTCAGAAAACCTTTTAAGGTGAATTGTTACCTTTCTTGCATGTAATTCTCAAAAGGCTTTCTTTACAAACTGTTTTGTAAAAAATTGTACTATGTGAACCTGTGAGAAAGTTTGTGGAGCATTTATTTCAGATTTTGAAATACCCTATTTAAACAGATCATAGGAATTTCTATGGGTACTTATTGAACACCGCTGCTCGCCGATTTTTTTTGTATTGCTATGAAAGAGACATTCTGTTGAGTCTCTCTGAAGATGCACAACAAGATATAATAGTAGCGTTAAAAAACACTTCTCGATACCTTGGTGATATTTTCTAATGTTGATAATTCTTACTTTGATCAATTTGTGTCTAATATCTATCTCAATGAACATCAACTGAATAAAACGAATTCTTGAAATTTAGTACATCATTTTTGGACCTTCATATTACTGTCAACAACAATACAATTCATACAAAAATTTGTAGTAAGGGAGATGGAAAATTTTGATTTTTAGTATTGTAAATTATCCACATTTAGATGGTGACATACCCTGTGCAATATCTAACGGCGTATATGTATCTCGAGTTAAGGAGATGTAGCTACGAAAACATTTTTAACGACCTTCTGAAGAAATTCACAACACTACGCCATATAAATTAGCGTTTAAAAAACACTTCTCGATACCTTGGTGAATTTTCTAAATGTTGATAATTCTTACTTTGATCAATTTGTGTCTAATATCTATCTCAATGAACATCAACTGAATAAAACGAATTCTTGAAATTTAGTACATCATTTTTGGACCTTCATATTACTGTCAACAACAATACAATTCATACAAAAATTTGTAGTAAGGGAGATGATTTTGATTTTAGTATAGTAAATTATCCACATTTAGATGGTGACATACCCTGTGCAATATCTAACGGCGTATATGTATCTCAGTTAAGGAGATGTAGCTACGAAAACAGTTTTAACGACCTTCTGAAGAAAGCTTCACAAACAGGACTACCGCCATCATAAATTACGGAAATATTTTGAATTTGAATTGTCTAAACACTTGGTGGATAAAAACCTAAACTATTTAGGTTTTAGTAAGTAACAAACAATACACTTATTGAGATTATTTCATAGTTTAATTGAAAACTATTGGATACAACTAAATATTTCTTATCGTTGACAAACGCAACTTTATCAATTCGTTTTGTAATGTCTGTGTCAATAATTATATATAATGATGATCAGATCAAATTGCTGTCAAATATCAAATAACAAATTGATTATTCTCACTTCAATAAAACGGGGGAATTTTGTTGGCACTATGAAGTATGGTTAAACCCAATAATTTGTCGTATCACAGTTCAGGAAGAAAAAACAAGATTTATCTTTGAAATCTAATTCTTTTTAATGTTATAATATGCGAGTCCATTATAAAGCAAAATGATTGAGACTAAACTGGCAGCCTGCCTACTTATAGAATATGGCATAAACTTCAAAAAGATTTTTATAACCATTTAAAGTCTAAGAGCTACTAATAAGGCTTATGAAGGGTGGGATAAATTAACCCTAAAATTACAAAACCGCCAAGTTTTTTTCTATTGCCTTGATGACTTTAAATGGGTTTTAATGCTCTAATTCACTGTATGTAAGCATTTACTGTTCTTAATCACTTCTTGTCTTTTTTTAAAAGTATGATAGGTCATATTGAATGATTAAAAAATAAAAATAAAGAATGAACAAACATGTGAATCGAAATGGCAAAATCTTCCTGAAAAATGCCTATAAAGATATTCCTAAATCATCTTGAGTTGCCGTATAAATAAGAAGATGAAAATCATTTATAGTGAACGGAGATAATATAAATCAAATGTTTTATATTGAGAGGCATTTTTGTAAATTTCACACTTTGACTTTTACCTTTGACCTCAAAATTTAAAAAAGTCATATACTAACAAAGGTCAATGTCTCTACCGAGTTATATAAACTGTTGCTGCTGCTGCTGCTGCTGCTGATGATGATGATTATGATGATGCTGATGTTTTTGTTGTTGGTATTACACTTATTCTAGGCGGTTTTTACCTTCCAGTTTGGTTATTTTGATACAAATATGTACATGCCATGTTTGTTATTATGTAACATTTGTCATTTATGGCATTTAATAAATGCCCTATTTCATTCAACCTGAGTGTTGTGTTTTATCTCATACCAAATAAGTTCGTCTTGCCAGGTATATTTGTTTGACCTGGACAATACATAAAACAGAAGTTATGATCAGATAATTAATATTCAATGAAAACCATTCTATAAAAATGCTATCTGTTATGCTTCCGTAGCTCTGCTGTTTACGTATATAGTAAACGTTTTGGTAATCATTTCTATAGCACCTTCCATTTATTTATTTATTTATTTACTAGTATCTTTTTAGGAAAAATTAAAATTATTTTGGTTTTTATAATTTGACTCCTTGTTTCTAAAACACTGTAAAGAATGGATACATAAAAAGTTTCATTGTGTTTGCGTATCATAATTAAAACATTACATTCTTCGAACGAGAATATCTAAAAAAAAATTGGAGATACCTATTCATTTTAAACTGTCTCTCTCTCGTAGTTTAATCGTATATGGGACAAGTAATTAGAAAGAGTACCACACTTTTTCAGTATAAGCATTTCGGTCTAGGTAGTGCTCACATTGTCTATATTCTCGTCAACATCCGCATCCGTGCATCTACTTTTGTCAATTACTATATGTTTTTGTAAACATGATTTCAACTGGCTGTTTTTGTAGCGTGCTTTTTTTCTTTTTTTTTTATTTGTTTTTAGTTTGTTGTTTTTTTGGGGGGGCTTTTTTGTTTTTGTTTGGTTTTTGGGGTTGTTATTGTTGTTGTTGTTGTTGTTTTTGTTATGTTTTTATTATGTGGTTGCACATTAATCAACCAATAGGGTCATATTCTTACTCAATTATGATGTTAATTTACCTAAATTGTAATATCCATTTTGTTTGAAATATCTCTTTTATATCAGAATCGAACCACTGAAAAGAGAGTACGTTTTGTAAAATATAATTTTGATGACACTGCATACTCTTATATGGTAAGTCTGTAATGGAAAACATTTCTAATTTCAGGTACATTACATTATTTCTGTGTTTGGCAGTAGTTATATGGTACCCTGAGAACTCACTTGCGCAGCGTGTTAATGGCGTATGTACAGTAAACGGAACTGTTGCTGATTGCAGTCATTCAAAGCTTACAAATATCCCAAGTTCTCTGCCAGCAAACATAACTTGTTTAAATATGCTTGGTAACAGTTTATCGAATATCACCGGAAGACCATGGCAAAGATATAAGCATTTAAAGAAACTGTCGCTCGCTAGAAACAGAATAACTGCACTACATAAAGGGAATTTTGATGGCCTTCAAAAGTTAGAGATGCTTGATTTAAGTTTAAACTTAATTCGATACACAAGCATTCATAAGGATGTTTTTAAACCGCTACGGTCACTTGTCTTTTTAGATATTAAGCAGAATTTGTCTGGTATTTCGGTAAGTGAATACTATCCTGAAGGACTGAAGAATCTTATTCATCTCAAAACTTTGGTTATTGATGGACTTGGTACACAAGCGTTGCCTCATTTACCGAATTTGATCGAACTATACATGTCGGGGGAATATGGAAGATGTTATATTCCTCATATCAATGGAAACTTTTTTGAAAATATAACGACTGTTCAAAACATATTTCTGTCAAATTGCTCAATCAAAAAGGTTGATTTCAACAGTTTTATGGCATTGCATAATATTACTTCTCTTGATATGTCAGATAATATAAATCTTGGCATGGAATCTTTACCAAACATCACAAGCGGACTTGCAAGGAAACAGAGACTTAAGCGTTTGAACTTGAATGACCTCTACGACCATTCTCAATTTGATTTCTGTTCTTCGCTCAATTATGATGATGTTAAATATTTATCGAATTCTTCTATAGAAATGGTAACAATTGAAAACAACAATATTGTCCGCATGGATGTCAAGTCAGTGGAACATTGGCCCAAATCTATCAAATATATCTCTATTCAGCACAATATGTTCCTTTATGGTAACTACACACCATTTTTGATTTTAACCGATGTATTGAATAGAACAGTGTACCTTGATGCAAGTCGTATGGCAGCAGCTAATCGTCCTATTTATAGTAGTGAGGATGCTATGAAAATGGTGTTACTAAAATCTAACATGCAACAACATGGTACCGAATCTGTATGCAGGTTAATGTTTACTCGATATCAAGTTGGAGATTATTTTCAATTTATTGAAAATAGACTAAAACAAAATGATATTAACACGGATACATCTAAAAACCTTGAACCTAAACTTGAATATCTTGATTTATCTGAAAATCTTCCGGTATTGATAGAAAGGATATTCGAAATATTTCCTCACATTCCGAATTTGAAAGTCCTAAATGTGTCTAGAAATTACCTCGGTTATCCACTTTACGATGGGCCTAGCATAATTGGACAACTGAAGCATCTACGCACTTTAGATCTAAGTGACAATAAAATTATACGCTTATCGCCGAATATATTCAATAATCTTACAAAACTTGAAAAATTATATTTGTCACACAATAAAATTAGCAATATTACGTTTGATTTAAGCCATTCTAAAAACTTACATTATATTGATCTTGGGTACAATAATCTAGAATCAATCAATCAAGCAACGAGAGACACTCTCGATAATATTTCAAAAAATCACAAATTGAATCATGTACATGTTAACATAGCGAATAACAGTTTGAAATGCACTTGTGAAAATTTATTGTTTTATAGTTGGGTAAAAAAAAATACAACATATATTGTAAACAAAGATAACACGAATTGTACATTTAAAAATTCTACATCAGTGTCACTATCAACACTTATAAAAAATTATGATCACTTTGAACGAGAGTGTTCAAATTATCTAGTAATTATTCTGGTTACAAGTATTGCTTTTATTTTTATAATAGTCATCATAACAAGTGCGTTGATGTACAGGTTTCGCTGGAATCTTCGGTACATGTATTACATGACAAAATTAAAATTGTTGGCTAACTATCAACGGCTTAATGATACAGAATACGAGAAAGAAGTGTTCGTGTCATACGCGGATGAAGACAGAAGATTCGTCGCAGAGAAGGTTCGGCTTGAGTTGGAGGAAAGGGGTGAAATATCTTTGTTGATTCATGACAGAGATTTCCGAGCAGGTGCGTTCGTGCAGGATAACATATTGCGAGCAATATCATGCACAAGGAGAACACTTGTTATTCTTACGAAACAATTTTTAAAAAGTAAATGGTGTATGTATGAATTTAATATGGCACGTATGGAAGCAGCAGACACTGGAAGAAATGTTTTATGTTTTATACTTAAAGAGGATATTCCCACAACTGAATTACCAGTGGAAATGATAGATGCTTTAAAGAAGATTACATACATAGAGTATCCGACTGCAGACGACGACTTGTCGCAGTTTTGGGACAGATTGAGGGCTACATTAAAACACGAAACTTAACATTGATTATATTACAGAAACAAAATCTTTTGAATTTGGTGCATTTTAATTACATAACATGTAATAGTATCGATATCATTATGTATCGCGTTCACAGTATCTAGTTCATTCATAGTGTGGTAAAAATTATTTTATGTAACAATTATAGGTTGTTATATGTTGAACTGTATAATAGGGAAAAAGACTTGGATTTGGACGAGTACATAGCTAAAGAAATCGTATTGGACGAGCCGGATCACTGTGAATATCACATAAACCAGGTCCATAAATAAATGTATAATATTCAAAAGCAGCTATGGCATGTAAAAAATAAGTATAGAATGGATAATACCAAGTTATATATTACGTTGTACGTTCCATCGGGATTGCACGTAACGTACAAAATGTGCTTATTTTCATGTATTAATTAGTAATGAATATTTAATAATAGGCTTTAAAACATGTATATATTACGCCGACTAATAAATACTAATCATTCATTGGATGTTTTGACGTCACGAGGCGGCTTAATGTTATCCTATATTAGGACTCCAGATTATATTTGGCAAGAGGAACATTCAGAGTCGTCTATCCGACAACGTACACAGAGTTGGCCCTCATTATTACTAAATTATGACGAGGAAGGTAGAGTGATCGTAATATAATCGTTACCGGATTAGTTACTCATCCGATACAGGTTATACGGCTCTATAGAATACTTTTTCGGATCAAAATTGGAGCGGCCCCGGGGGTGACTTGATAAATGAAGACTTTATATAGGAAAACACATTTAACTCTAATTATGTGAAACTACAATGCCCAGAGCATTGATATTTGACATGTGACATTGCCTTGTGAACCTCTACAAAATTGGTAGTAATCATACCAATTGAGTCAATATTGGCATTGTCCCGGGTCATTTGATTTATATGTCTTATATTGGGACATAAATTTAAGTCTTATTGCGAGAATGCAATGCCCATGCAGAACTTAGATATTTGGCTTGTGGCATTGCCTTGTGGAAATAAAACTGATATAAATTATGTCATTAGGGTAGATTTATAATATTGTTAAGAAATCAAAAACTATATGTATGTGTATATGTATGTTTTTCTTTCATTAACTTTTTAATTTTTGTGATTTATCACACACTCGTTTCGCTTTTGTGACACTGTAAAAACGGCATATACATTTTGACGTGGCTTCAATTGCGTTATACGAGTACAAACATAGCGTAGAACGCTCTAAATATTATCGTCTCACAAGATGCGCATCAATGAAAAGGCGATTCCTTTTCGCAGTTCTTTATTTTGGAAGTATGTGATAATTAAAATATTATATTCGTATACATGTACATTCGATACTAAATTTATTGAACTCGTTGGAAATAAACAATATTATGTTCGCCAGAGGCTCGCATAATATACGTGTAGTTTTGACAACTCGTTAAATAAATGTAGAATTGAACCCACACTTATTAACCAATAAGTAAGATTGAATGTTTATCTACTTAGAATGTCCATTCATTCAGTATGTAGCACTGCTAATCCTCTTATATTTTAGTTATTTTGTTAAATAAATACTGTAAATTTCTTGGAGGGAGCCATTTTGGTTGTAATTGTTGTTAACTGTCACAGAAACATTGATTCTGTGATATTTACTAAGAAAAGATTTTAGGGACACATCTAAGAACCAACATGTTTTCAAATATTTCTATATTTGATTATGATTATCATGCTGTTGTTATTCTGATACAACTAGAATTTTTAACAATTAAATTCTGGCGTCTGCAAACCGCTACATTTCGGATATTTTTTCCATGATTGTGATGAAAATACTCGTGTACTTATTATTTGTATTGTATATAAAAACATTTGTTGTGTCAGTGAAATAATCACACAAGATATTTTAGCACTGATTAAATGCATGTTTTGTTTGTTAATCTTGATCTGTAATAAAGTCTGATTGAATTTCTGCCTGACATCGTTCTGCAATATCACTGGAGAACAGCACCCTAAACAGATCTGACTGGTCACTAGGAACAAGCCAAACTCATATTTCCTATTTTGGCACCATATTTCCTAAAATATTTCGGTGCGCCTTAAAACCCAATAAACAAACACCTTCCCCACCAGACATTTAATAATTTGTCAATTTAATCACGTGCTCATATCTCATAGCCTATATATTGGCTGTATTCAATGTGATGTCTCTCTTCCCCTTGGTACATGCACGTCATAGAGAAGGCACAGGGTATGGGCAGAAGATTAAGAGCTCCACTGACTTATTACTAAGCTTGCGTTGGCTGGTTAAGATCCATTCATATGTTCCGACTAAAGCCGAGGGGAGTAGCCCTACAAAGTAGGCAGGGACAACAAGTAAAATGTACTAAGGTGTATGAGCCCCTGCCACAAACAGGACAGGCCCTTAGCTAACATAACAGCCCTTTTCAGGGTTGCCTCCTCCTTTACATATTGTACATTTAGGTTCTCATTGGCCGTCGTACATTGACCTATTTTTGGCTAAAATTCATATCTTTGTTAAAATTGCATTGAGGTAAAAATATCACCACATTATAATTCAAAATTGACCCTTTAAAAGATTACTGTTGGCATGTCCGGGGTCAGTGCTCGACTGTGAAAGCTGCTTTTTTGTGCATGAAAGGGCGGAAGAACCTTATAAAGCCTATAATTCAGTCAGTGTATCAGTTTTTGCGTCTAAATATATTTGGAGCGCGGCAAATACAAATATAAAATCATCTTGATTATCAATCTTTATATTTTGGACATTTTTATAACCGCTTTATTAACGTTATTAAAAAGACTTTAATGGAAGATAAATGTTGAATAAACTGAGAATTGTTCATCAAATATTAGTCACGTTTGTGTTTTTCACCTGACTCGCCCCGTACAACATTAAATTTTGACCCCGTTAAAAAATGACCAAAGAGTCATCAGATTATTAGAATAAGAAAGGTTAGGGATCTATGCATTGACTTCTGCCTGTTGTATTATTACCCACTCGCTAATTTAAAAGCGACACCCGTTAAGTTTAGGCAATATTCCGACGTTGAAAACTGCTCCCTATAATTCTGCGCAATTTTGCATGGTCATACAGATGAAATATAAATATTTCTGTTGTTTTTAAAAACATTAAAGCACGTTATGTTCTCATAACACTCCTGATTACAGTTCGATCTTGCAATTACTTTCATTATCTGTTTACATCAATATTGACAATAATTCTAATTCGTGTCTGATAAAAATTAGAAATTCAAAATGAAGATATTTATTTAATTCAGGTGCTGATGTTTGTCTGATGATAGAAAAGTTGGACACTACAGTGAACAGGGAAGAGATGAGCTATCAGACGAGAATGCTTAACACCTAGATTTGTACATAGCTAAAATAAAAATCATTTAAGTCTTGTTCTTCCCGCTACACGATAATATATAGCAGAATGAAAACTACATAGATATTATTTAAATTTTGCAGGATCTTATTATATGATAACTGAAACAGTTTTAACGAGAAAAAATGGGGTACCAACAATACTTCTGGAGTTATCTGCCATTAGACCTGACATGTTTGCTTCTTCTATGGGCAGATAACTCACAATCAGTGTTAGCAATGCCATATCTTTTTCTTTATTTCATGTAGCTTATATCCGTTGTAACGATTATACAAAATTTAAGAAAATAGTAATGAGTAGAATGTTTAATTTGTCTTCTTTACTTTAAGCTATGCCAAATTAAAAAGGCATATTTGTAAAGAATTTTCAATCTCCGCGCTTAAAAATGAAAAACATAAACAAATAAGAAAAAGGTTTATTAGACTCTTAAAGATATCAATGTTCTTACAAACGCTTTACCTCATTTCCAAGTCATGCTTCGGGTAATGGACTTCCATTGAAATAACGTTCTAACAATAAAGGGTCTTTTCAGTAAGGCAAAACAGAATGGAAATGCCCCATATTTAACGCTATATGATAATGTTTACTTACAATATACCATAATACCTACTCTCATGTGACCCTTAAGGCCCTGTCACACTAGACTGCGCTTTCACTCTTTCACTGCGTTTGTACAGCGCTGTTAAATTTAACAAAGCGCCGCGAGATCTTAAAATCTGATTTTTTATGACATGGAGACTTCACGGCGTCTGCACGAAGGGCTCACGTCAATCATGTTGTTGTTATGGGGCTTCCGCGGCTTTGTAATGCGTTCATACGGCGTTTTAATTGAAATTGACTGCATTCAGACTGCGCCTCTACTGGGTTCTTTGCGCTTCCACTGCGCTGTCGTGGCGCTTACACTGCTCTGAAATTGTAATGCTCCGTAAAAGCGCCTAAACACGCAGTAAAATCGCACAATCTCCGTACAAGCGCCGTAGCCAATCATGGCGTTTATTCATCGATCCTTTTGCGCTTCCACGGCGCTCCTGTTGCATTGTAGGAGATGCTACTGAGTTACTACGACAACCTTACTGCGATCTACTGCGCTCTTATCAGAACGCCGAGTGACGGCGTTTGTTTTGAGCATGCTCAAAATGCGCGCCGTCGGTCGGCGTTCTACGCGATGCCAATGCGATATGCCACTGCGATGCTGATCCTATTGCGCTCACCTCGGCGTTCTGAATTTTCTTTGGACGCCGTGTGAACGCAGCCTTAGTGTGACAGGGGTTTTACAAAGATATTTACGATACACTTCCTTTGACCTCAGATCAACTCTTGTCCTGTGTATCAAAGCAATAAGTTGTAACTTAATAAACAATAGATTGAAAAGATGTAATTTCATTTTGACAAATGTTCAAAATCCCTGCAACTAATACATGCAGATCAGACAACTGTTAACAAAATCACCTAAGTGTAGGTCTTAGATTTTAATATAAATATCAATCGTAGCTTGAACCACAAAATGATCATACTTTTCGGGTTCCTATATATGACCTCCAAAACTTATATTTAACCTTTCTTTCTTTTTTTTTCTACTAACATTGTTACATATTTTAGATATTTATACCACTATCAACAGTCAAGACAAATAGCAACTTTGAACACGTTGCACTTTTAAAATGAAAATCGTTTTATGACAATATAAGCATCTTTATTCAGCTTTTGTGAAAATCTTATCTCACTTTTAGCCTTATAATGGAAATGCAATATGTATTATATAACTGTGATAAGTTTTAATATTACAGAATAAGTGATTGATTAACTAGTTGAACATATTTTATCTATAATAAAGTAAAATTCATGCAGTAACATTTGATATCGCATCAAATACCGCGTTAATGTATGCGCTTTTTATGCATATCTAAATGGCCTAGGTCACATGTTATCTTTCCGAGATGTGAATATGGTAGTTTAAAAGGTCATCTTTACTAATCTTTATACACACTGGGATAACCATGGTGTGTGTGATTTTATGAAAACGTTAACTACCCATGAATGTGTACATTATTTTGTAAGATATTGTCGTCGACAGTGAAGGATAATTATCAGTTTCTGTCATTCAAAAGTTTAAACATCTCTTTCTTTCGACAGAAAATTGTTACCATGAGTGGTCGTCCAAAATTATTCATTAATCAAGGGATACCGGAAGACGGCAAGGCTCTGAAGTTATATCGTGAACAATGTGAGATTAGTATGTACGACGAGAAAAAGGGTGGCGTCGTTTCTCAGCCACGTGAAGAGTTTCTGAGATGTATCAAAGGCGTGGATGCTATACATCTCGCGTATCCAGTAAAAATAGACAAGGAAGCTCTAGATGCAGCAGGTTTTTCGCATTTCTTTTTCACAAAGTCACTTTTTATTGACAGGCAGCGTGCTGATTGTTTGTTTATGCAAAAAATCCAAATATATATACATTCATATGTATTGTAATAAAACATTAAATTGTAATGAAACATTTCTCATACGTTGTATATCTTTAATCCACTTAATTATCCACTGCAAGAGAAAATAGCTTGCGTTGCACAAAACAATAACTTCTGCATATATTTTGTTGTTAAATCTATGTATCTTTATTTGTTATATTTAAGGTCCACAGTTAAAGGTTATAGGGACAATGTCAGTAGGTTTGGATCATCTGGATTTAGTAGAGTGTGCACGGCGCGATATTAAAGTAGGTTATACACCGGATGTCCTCACAGATGCCGTGGCGGAGGCAGCTATGGCCCTGACACTTGCTACTGCTCGCAGATACAAAGAAGGTATTTACTTTTTTATAAATACAGAAAACTTTAGATACCTGGTCATGATTAAAGTTAATTCATAGGATGTAATATTGATACTACACATTTTCAACACCGTGTGTATTGTATTTTATTTTAATGAAACGGAAAATATAATAGCCTTGCTCTTTTCTTTTAAAACAAGATTCCGAATGATATAGTGTATGCAAGTAAACTCATAATTATTGTGTCCTTAACCCATTACTTCATGAGAATTTGTGAAAAATGGCTATTTTCATTGAAAAGTCTCCCGTTACAAGTTCAAATTGCTATAAAACTACAAAAATTGCTTCAATACTAATCAAACTTGGCACAAATGTTGACTGGACGATTGCCTCTGTAAATGCCCAGGCTTAAATTTCCTGTTACCATGGCAACGAGGGGACATCTCAAAATTGCAAAGAATCACTATTTTGCGTTGATTTTTCCCATCAAAATTGATTTCAAAGTGCTGCAACTTCTCGATGGATTGAGATAGTCAAATGCTTTTCCGTGCTGGTTACACATTACCTTATGATCGATCTGTGGTCATTTTTAGCCTCTCACAAGTCCAAAATGTTCTTGGCGATGAGGGGGACTGCCGCCTCCTTTCAAACCCCTAAAACAGAACGGGGGCACATCCCCCTTCTGGCACCCCCCTGATGTATCTTTTGGTTGGGGGCCGCGCCGAAAAAGTGGTCACTTTTTTAAACAAGATTTCTCAAACAAAAACAAGTGTTGGGGGCCTAAATAAGGCATTTTTTCACCATTTGAGACAACAATAAAGTGGGTGAAAAAGGCGTTAAACGCGTGTATATCGGGTAATGGGTTAAACTTGTATTCCCGAAGATGAGAGATGAGTCCCTGGAAGCTTTCGGTCAACATAATCAGGTTGTTAAATTTATTCGCATTTAATTAAAGAAAAAACACATTAATAAATAATAACGTCATCGTCTTCGTAAATCTAACAATAAAGGTCTCTAAATGATTTTTTTCCGTAGGTATGGCGGACGTAGTTAACGGCAAATGGGGATCAACTTGGAATAACTCTCTTTACCTCTGCGGAAAAGACATTAAAGGTTCGACTGTTGGAATTGTTGGCTTGGGGCGAATCGGACTCGGGGTTGCTAAACGCTTGAGACCATTCGGTATAAGTCGCCTCCTTTATTGTGGAAGGAACGAAAGGGATTGTGCTTCTGAAGTTGGCGCCGAATATGTTGCATTTGATGATTTGTTAAAACAATCTGACTTTGTAATAGCATGTTGTTCTATGAATCCAAGCAATCATAAACTATTCAATGTTGATGCATTTAAGAAAATGAAGTCGTCAGCGATACTAGTCAATGTATCACGAGGTATACTTATTGACCAAGATGCACTCTACGACGCCTTACGTACAGGAGAGATACACGCTGCTGGACTAGATGTGACCACACCAGAACCATTGCCTGTCAATCACCCCCTTCTGACACTGCCTAATTGCACTGTGCTTCCCCATCTTGGGAGTGCTTCTGTTAATGCCAGAAATGCGATGGCTGACCTGACAGCGAGTAATATCTTAGCAGGGCTGAAAGGAGAATCTTTACCAGCTCCTGTTCCTGTTAGCAAATAATTTCTTTTTTCATGTTATAGATATGTTTCTTACTAATCTGTTATTTAACCAGTGCTATAATTTTCAAGGTTAATGTGTCAGTTTGAATACATGATAGTGATAGGTATGAATTGATAGCGTTGTTTTAAATAAGTACGCTTCTTGCAAAAAACAAACCTTTATTCTACTACTATTTGTTTATTTGCAAAAAACAAACCTTTATTCTACTACTATTTGTTTATTTGCATATTGATTTGATTAATGCTGTTCATCAATTATATGTATGTTAAAATGATTTTGAAAACTCCAACTGTCAAGTTTCCGTTGCAGTTCATTCAGTGAAATATTAATTAAGTGAGTCTACGGATTATTTTCTGTTCTAGACAAAAGTTATGACCTTACCAATGAATTAAGACAAAGCATTGTAAGAATAGCATCGCCTTTGAAATAAACATGACCAGGGTAATTCATTAGCAGACCGACAAATAAAACAAAACAAAATGTTTTTTTATCTTTATTATCGCGACTATTCGTGTTAATAAATACTAGTAGTCAATAAATATGTAAACGTGAACCAGAAAAAAATGACAAAGTTTCCATTTTGTTCAAGGTGTGCACTGAGAAGAAATTACTTCAGTTTATTAGTGTCTTCAAAATTAAATTTTTAGAAATTGTTTATTTAAATCTACTACCAGATATTATCCATTACTGTTATTTCGGTGTGTCCAACGTCCAACGTTTTCAGTGCGTTATTTAAATTCAACCTACCATTACAGCTAGAACTGTCGGAAGAAGGGTAACTAGATTTTTTTTCAGTTGGCCCCATCAATGATGTATAGATCAAGTACTCCAAATTTATGTAGATATGAGCAAACCTTTCTACATATACAAATGTAGGTAGAGAGAAAAATAATTAAATGCAATGAATATATCTCAGCAAATGCAATATCCATTTTCCAGAATATTATCGGCATATTGACAACTATTACAATACTACTGTTACAATATCCAGTAACATGTATAAAACAGGTTTTTTATGTCTTGAAAATTTACTTGGAAAACGTTAAAAACTAAATGTAGTGCATACTAGAAAGCAGACCGCGAACACTTTCATTGCAATGCTGTGTGACCTTGCTAAATATCAGAATGTGTCGCCCTCTAGAAAAAAAATATTTATAAAAATATAACCTTATAAAAAATATAACCTCAAAAAACATGTTGTCTTTTGTGTCTGGTTTCAGTTGAAACTTTCAATAGGCATGGCTTAACGTATATCCGTGATAAGTAATTCGTGATTATTGATTTCTTTACTTTTAGTGTTTGAACATTCAATACTGTACAAGCCAGTGTTTGGGGCGTGAGGGATGCAACATCTCCCATTGTCTCTCGTGAACAATCGCATTTTCATCGAATAGCAGAGGACGTTCCGAATGTCTCGTGAACAGACTTAATCTTAATCAAACAGAGTCTGCCACTTCGACATTCATTGCTCTTTGAGGTATACAATAACTTTATATGCACAAGCCTACATAGACACCACCCACTGTGACCTCTTCTGGGTCATATTCTCTCAGGCCTAGGAAATTGACAAATATCATTTCAATAAAAGAAATGTCCTCTGTGTTTCTAAGGTTTGGAATGCGATCTTTGCATTTAAACTCGATTACTCGCGTGTACTTTCGTCTATTAGAAAATTAATTAGATTAGCAAGGTGATTTCTATGGGGATGGCATCTACAAACATCGTAAGATTTTGGGTCATGGTAATTTTTCTGCTGTCTTGCAAAAAGGGGAATAATCTTACTATTTTTAGGCATACACCAATGTTCAACCCCTTTAAAGTTGGACTCTGCTTTTCTATTTTATGACATCTGACGGACAAAGTGGTTTACTTCATTATTAACTTTCATTATTCCTCATGGACAATAAAGCCGAGTCTGCAATTGTCATGTAATTTAATTGTGATTTATGTTTCCGATGAATCGCCCTTTTTCAGAGTTTTATACTTCACAACAGCAGGTGTCAAATGCCTTGTTGTATCTATATAAATTTGCCCAGTACTTCACTTCAGTGTTGTTATATGTATTATATGTTATCTATTTATTTATTTATTCTTTTTTCTTTTTCTTTTTTGTCCTTGTGATCCTTCACTCCAGCACTTTTAAGTGTTGAAAATTGAGTTGCCGCTCGGGTCGGAGCTAGCTAGGATGCATGAGGGATGTTGCACCTTTTTATTACCCCTTGTGAGGTATACAATCGAACCGAGTCTGCAATGTTGGTGTAATATCGTTGTGATTAATGTTTCCAAGGGATCACAGATTTCCAGATTTTTAATTTAAAAAATGCCGCAAACAATAATTTTTCTTCAAAGGTATGTGTAGAGCCATGTTTTAACATGGCGAGACTCGAGTTTAGGTACTTCCAATATTTTTCATCATTTTCTGTTAATTAAATCCCAGTACTTAATAAAGACGTCTTTTCGTGCCTTTTCACCCCTCCCCCTCCCCCCTCCTTGTGAGGCCTCTAATAGTGAAAATATGGCCTATTTAGAACCCAAATACTTGTTTTCGTTTGAGAAATAGTGTTAAAAAAATATCACTTTTTCGGCGCCATCCGCTATAAAATAGATACATCAGGGTAGATCTTAAGGTAACATGTAGCCAACGCTGAAAAGCCTTTGACTTTAGCTCAATCCATTGAGAAGTTGCAGCGCTTTGAAATCAATTTTTGATGGAAAAATCAAGGCAAAATAGTGATTTTTTGGCCATTTTGATATGTCCCCTCGTTTCCATGGTAATAGGAAATTCAAGATTATGCCGTTACAAAGGCTTCACAACAACAGTGTCAAGTGCCTTGTGGCAGCTGTAAAAAGTTGTCCCATTCTTCATTTCAATGTTGTTCTATTTTTCTGGTCCTTCGGGATCATTGATTTTAGCAGTGTTGAAAATTGAGTACCCCTCAAGCCGGAGCTAGGAGCCTGAAGGATGTTGTACTTGTTCATTACTCCTCGTGAACAGACTCTATCAAACTGAATCGGCAATTTTCATGGTATTGTATTGTGATTAATACTTCCGAGGGATCACACTCCTTTCAGCTTTCTATGATGGGCAGTTCTGTAAATCCAGTAATTTCTTAATTTCCGTCTTCTGTTTGCGCCGTCGGACACACTTTTTCTTTTTGCTTTGTTTTCCTTTATGACATTGAATAAGTGGTGGTCGTTAGGGTTTCTTTTTATGCGTACCTGGAGTTCATGATAATTAGTGTTTAATTAATGGACAATAACAACTCTTAGACTTTGGACAGGCGGTAAGTCATTTTATTTACCTGTTTTGTAAAACAGGTACATGTTGGGACTAACAGTGAGGTGTGTTGCAACATTAACCTGTTTAAACACCCCAGTGACCCCAGTAGTGTTTTTGCTGAAGACCATTCCAAGGTGTTGCCCCACTGTATTCCTTAAGCTTAAACTGTTTGCCTTGTTCTACCTGTTATTTGTCGTCAAAGGTAAGTATCCTCTTTCTCCTAGATTTTTAAAATTATCCATCTTGTTTTGCCCTAGTACCCTTTCCAGATTTTGTTCGGTGCTCTGCTAGGCTCCTGGCCGATGGTCCTGTGTTTCTGAATTTTGTTGGCGGTATCTCCACTGCATGAATGTGTAAACTTTCCCTGTTTATCTTTACATTATTTTTCTAATATTCTTTTCATGCAATGAAATATCACTATTTTTAAAATAAAATATAACAGTAATAAAAGTATACATTATACCTGGGACACAATATAACAGGACATGCAACTTCCAACTAGACAAACGGTTTTGTGTTGATGTTCAATTGACAGCCAATCGATAGATAATCAAAGTGTTTAAATAATAGTTTAATGGCATGTTTTGTTGTTGTTTTTTTTTTTGTTTTTTTTTGTTTTTTTTTTTGTTTTTGTTTTTTTTTTTTGTTTTTTTTTTGCTGTTTTTTTTTTGTTTTGTTTATTTTGATCCAAAAATAATTTAATTATCAGGTTGAAAATGAGTAAACCTTTACAAACATCTTTTCATTCGTCTAAACTTTTCATTGGTCGCTGCTATAATTGGCGGTTAAATATTTTCTTTCTTTTCATCTTGACAGTTTTTGTCATTCTGTATTTGGTTGACGGAAGGATCACATACCTAAAATTATTTGAAATTAAATTTAACATTGATGTATAATGTTATAATCCAAGCAATATTTTTACATTTTGTTAAATATTATATTGATAATGCCTTTGCCTGAGACTCACTGAATCTCGGGAAAGGATTAATTATACAAGCTGGTAATGACCAGTCTTGAAGATTATAATACTAAGGAGGCGATATGTAAATCTCTTGCTAGGATATGCTTTATGGAAAATATTATCATTGAATGATTATTGTACACACAGAATGACAAAGCATTTCGGAATGCATTTGATAATTACATATAAATTATCATACACTGGTAATTTATATATACATGCTTTTTGTGTATTTAATACATGAGTTATGTGATCCAATGTTTACCTATATATGATTTCTGAAATTGAACTATGCATGCTTATGGCGTTTATTGAATGAAAACTTATAATTAAATCAAAATTAGTAAATTTTATACATATCATATAAATAGCATGAACATACTTAAGGACTGATTAAATCTTATGCCAGATGGCTTATATACCTCTTATTACGCCGTTTACTACAAACCAAAAAACACACATTATAAAAGTTACTTTCAACGTGACAAATGGCAAGTTTGTGCCTCTATATGATTGGACGAAAAGATAATATCAAAGCGACGCTAATCTCCAGTTGCCTGTCTCATTATACCAACTTGTACAGAGTAATCATTGATGTAGATGTGAAAGGAAGTCTCTGGTTTTTTTTTTTTTTTTTTGTTGTTGTTTTTTTTTTTTTTTTTTTTAATTTTAAAATGAAAATTGGATCAAACTTATGTAAAAATTAAATGAACCGCCTATCAAATTACCAGATAAAGACTTTAATTGAGGGGGGGGCTTAAAATGTTCAAGAACTATTATCTTGACTTTAACGGGTTAGGTCTAGTTCCACTCTGGGGAGGTCACACCCTATGGGTATGCACAAGAATGCACCACAGTTGTTCTTTTGATTATTTTAGTTTAACAAATTAAAAGCTGCAGAAAAGGTCCAAGGGCTCGTGTATTATTTTTTGTGCTCTAAATTTATTTATATAGTATTGTTGTTTCAAGTTATAGTCATCAAATTCATGATTGTGCTGTGTCAAGAATTTAAATTATGACTAATGCGAAAATTAAGTGGGCCGTCTCCATGGAAGTGTACTTTTAGTAGCTTGAAACCTATTGTAGTTAAGAACGGCGAAAGAAAACAGAATATAGCTAAGACCAAATCTCGTACTCAAATAACGCGAGAAGTCAATGTCGCCATTTTTCGCCATTTGTATGGCGCCAAGAAAGATAAATTTATTTAATGGCTCTTTTACTTATGTTTAACCGTTGAATTTAAGGTGTGTACGAATTTTCAGTATCAAGGCCATGATGCTTGTCATAGGCGTAAATAGTTCTTGTTTTAAAAGCCGAAATTGCTTTTAAACATCTGTAGATAAAGTTTGTTTATCGAAAAAACGTAAACATAGTTCTAATTATTCTACCGTTGACATGATTGACTGATCTATTATCTGGATATTAAGGCTAGAATTATACAGTTGTAGGTGGTAATTGAACATTTCCGATCAAACATTTCGAACTCCGATTTTGGGATAGAATCTACTTCTGACCTGATTTTTGGACATAATTTTTCGGACCATGAATGTGACACTTAAGACGGTAACAAGACAACTCACCCCCCAGACGATTCACCCCTCAAAAAAGCAAGACAACTCACCCCTCAAGACAGTTCACCCCTCAAAATAGATAAGACAATTCACCCCTCATAAATGATAATCATGTTTATGGGTAGAAAGGATTAAAAAAGTCTGTATATTTCAAAGATTTAAGATAATTACCATATCTATCCATCTATCTAGATAATAGTCACTTAACACCTAATTAGAGATAATTACGATCAAAGGAAGTGTGAAAGGGATTAAGGCCTATTGATAATCATTAATTAATTCCTTTCAAAATGAAAGGGATTAAAGAGCAAATGATTATCACATGTTAATATCTTTGATATGTCGTCTTATAATAGCATCACTAGCACTTAAACAAATTAAGACAAATTTATGGTGAATTTGTAATTTTTATAGTTTGTATGTAAATAAAATGTAAAAATATAATCACATAGTAACAAATATTATTTTTTAAGTAAAAAATTATTATAATTAATTTAAATATGACTAATTTATAAATATCAATTTAGTAAAGAAACACAACAAATTTGTTTATTGCATCTTCTAATTTTAAGATAAATTTCATCAAAATTAAAGTTAAGAAAATGGGGGGTGAATTGTCTGTGTCAAAAATCCAATAATGTGGGGTGAACTGTCTGGGGGGTGAGTTGTCTGGAAAAAATGGCTTAGGGTGAATCGTCTGGGGGGTGAGTTGTCTGTAAGCCCTTAAGACCATGCCATGAACACTTCAGAAGTCGAAAATGTTATGTTATTTTAAACTAGTAATGATTCGCCACCAGTTTAGCTTCCGTTTTCAATCAGAATACCTCAGCTTTTATCGTTATCTTGTAATTCGAAAAGTTGCGATGTGTCAATTCTGTTCTTGGGACAAAAGTTTTCAAAACCATCACTAGCAGGTACTTGCGTTACCATAAAGCTCGCTTAGCGAGCAGACCCTTCGGGCCAGCTCGCTATAAAGATTCGCTTCATGACAATTTGCCGCAGTGAAATAATGATTCGCCACAACAATTAGCCATAGTATGGTTATAAGAAGACAGACTATTCTCTCCCTTACCAGTTCCTTGCCCTGACAGTTCTCTCCCAAACCGTTTCATCCCCTGACGGTTCTCTCCCAAATTTGAAATATGTAGACAGTTCTCCCCCCAATATTTTTTATAAGTTATCATATTTTTAGTTTTGACTTTATCGAATAATATCTCTTACTGAAGATTTAGTAACTCATGGCCACGACTTAGTAACTCATGGCCACAGCTTAGCTATCTTATGGCCAAGACTTTGTAACTCGTGGCCAGGACATAGTATCTTGTTTGCACAAAATAAATAAAAACACACACGTCACCTTTGTGCCACCTAATCCCCCTGCTGAGGGTAACAACCCACTTTCCTCAAATTGGATTAAGGGCCCAACCTTGTGTAACAGAGGCCTTCCAAATTTAAGTTTCCTGTAACATCATGCAGTTAACTGAAAGATCTGAAGTTATACAAGATTCTTACAGACTTCCCGAAAGTTAAAAATAAGTTTCAGACATTCGGTCTGACAAACCATGAAAATCTGTTGGACCGAAACGAAATCTGTCAGACCAAATAAAGTTAATAAAATCCAAGGAAAACTTGTGTTTGTATTTCTAGACTGTACAGCGCATTTTCATCTCCTCCCTGTCATACCCCAACGATTCATGGTCCTGCTTCCATTTTTCATAAAATTTTGTCTCAGGTCTATTTTGTCATCCTTTTACTGCTGTTCTGCACGCTCCTCTGACCTAGATTTTGTATACATGCTTTCCATTTTTCATAAAATTTTGTCTCGGGGTCTATTTTTTCATCCTTTTACTGCTGTTCTGCGCGCTCCTCTGACGTAGATGTTGTATACATGGGACTTGGATAAAAGCCGGACAGTCGTACCAATCCGGAATTAAAAATCGTCTGACCTAATCAAAATTTATCGGACATGTATGTCGGACCGACGTGTTTCGGGAATTGACCTAATCAAAATTTATCGGACATGTATGTCGGACCGACGTGTTTCGGGAATTCTGTTCTTACTTCCCATATGTTACTGAAATTTAGGTTCCACATAAATTTAAAAAGTCCAAATTTTCCATCAAGTTCTAATCTAGATTATACTGTTTATACTGGGCAAAAATTCTAACTCACAATATCTCAATCATAATGAATTTTACAATGCCAAGAATATGGTTTCCATAATTGCTAAAGTGAAAATAGTTATTTAAATATGATCTTATTATTTTACAGACTTGATAAGTTGATATCAATATGCCGCCAAACAAAAGTAAAAGAAGTAACGAAGAAAGTCCAGGTACGTATAAATGATACCTTGAAATTTTGGGGTCAAAAGTGCAGGTCACAGTTTTTGCAGTTCTAAAAATGATTGGCACAGTTGTACAAACAGTACAAACATACCATTAAGTCATGCTAAATGTCAGTGTTACAGGAAAAGAATTTTATAATAAATGTTATAATAAAAGCATTTCAATGAAAAAATATGTAAACTAAACAATTTTGGTAATGTGATAAGACAAATACATAACATGGCACTATACACCTTTTGGGGACAGGTAACCATACCCTAAGGAAGGGGAATTTTGCGTCGTCTTAAGGCAAAATTCGATATTTTATGCTATGTATTTAGTGTATTTTTTATCACATTTCCTACCAATAGTTTATTGTAATTTTCCTACCATTGAAATCAATAGCTCAACTAGTATATTTTTTTACTTTAGACTAACAAATCAAACAAATTAATTTAAGTTGATTTATTTTAGAATTTGGAGGGGATTTTTTTCTGAGATAGGGGAAAAATACATATGATTTTGAGAGGGAAATGGTACCCATATTCGGCCCCAAAAACGCGTGCCCTGGACATATTATATAAATGTTAATATACCATCATTACTAAATTTATTGAACTTGTTGGATAAAATAGCATGTTGGCCAGAGGCAAGCATTATGACTGTATAATGTCATCTTGGTAAATTCAGTACAGAACCTACACTCATTCAATATCCTCTATGCTCTTTTCTAAATTTGATGATCTGAAAAAAGTGTGTTAAATATTATAGAAAGAAGATCTAAACGTCGCCGTCTAAATGATGAAGAGGAAGAAGAAGAAAAAGAGAAGGAAACTCCACTAAGTAAGGGGAAAGGTATGAAAAATCAAAACTGAATTATGTTTACATCTATTGAATACTTTCCAGCAGTCAGTGGTATCTATGTCCAGACAGAGATCTGTTGAATACGCGATTTTGCGCCATTGGCGCTAAAAAAATGAGAATGGCGCAGGAAAATCGGCAGCAAAGGGCCATGGGCACATCTAAAATCTGTGCCAGACTTATAGGAAAAAACAAAACTGTCCGTTTGGGTACTTTAGTCATCCAGTCAAAACTGGTACTAACAGCAACATGTTACCCATTCCCCTGTAATTACGCATATTCTTGAGTTTATCCATTCCCCTAGCTTATATAATCCTTTTCCCACACAGATACTCATTTCTACTACGTAAATTTAATCAAATAAAACAAACGTGAAACAAAAGTGTTGCTATTTTAAGAAATGCTGTAAGTTACAGTATAATCTGACAGGTGTAAAACTTGATGACCCCTAAGGTCACTCAAGTTCATGCAAGCTTTGGCTGATTTAGTGTAAAAAAGATGTCTATTTCGTCATCAGAATATTTGACAGGGTAGTCAACGCTTTCGACCAACTTCAGTGACCAATGAACTTAACGCTATAAAGCAACTTGAAGACAGTGCTGTAATCATCAGTGACTGGATGAATGCCAATAAACTCAAAATGAACACCACTAAGACAGAATTCATTATGTTTTGTAGTAAAGCCCAACTTGGTAAATGTTCAATTAAAGAAATTGATATCGCCGGTGATAAAATTCAAAATGTCAGTGTCATAAGATACTTAGGTGCCTACTTAGACGAGGGCCTAAGATTCTCAACACATGTTAAGACCAAGTGTAGAACTGCTATGTTAAATTATTTGAGAATAAAGAGCATTCGCAAATATCTGACTCAGGACGCAACAAAAATCCTAGTATTGTCGCTTGTAATCTCACATTTGGATTATTGCAACGCTATATTGTTTGGCATTTCAGAAAGTGAGTTACAGAAATTACAGCGTATCCAGAATATGTGCGCTAAACTTGTTTTGCAACGCGGAAAATATGATAGTTCCAAAGACTCTTTGTTGGAACTGCATTGGTTACCAATTAAAGCTAGGATCAATTTTAAAATACTATGTACAATGTATAACTGTTTTATGGGCAATGCTCCGGTTTATCTAACAGAACTGTTACACAAGCCTGTCATAAAAAGACCAAATCTCAGATCTGTTGATAATATGGATTATTGTTTTGCTGTCCCCTTTAACAAAAGGAAAACATTTAACGACAGAAGTTTTAGTACCGTTGGTCCAACTCTCTGGAATAAATTGCCTCTGTATATAAGACAGTCTTCGACTTTGGACATGTTCAAGAAAAATGTCAAAACCTAGTATTTCAGAGATTTTTACGCATTGTTTTAAGATTGTGATTGGGCTGTAAACTGATAGAGATGTGGAATTGTGTTTGAAATTTTACTGAAATAACCATTAATTTTTATTTTCTTTTAAATTTTTTTTTATTGTTATTTTTTATAACTATTCTTTCTTTTTTTAAAGTTTTTAATACTTTATATTTTACACGGCTGATATCTTTAACATATTTTTTGTGGTTCATTTGCCATGCATATGTGTTGTTTTTTTTTATCTATATGTACATACTTTTATTATCCTTTTGTACAACGCCATTGAATATGTATATAGAAATAGGCGTTTAATTAAATAGAACAGTTTCAGTTTATTTTCCCAAGGCCCATACTTTGGTAAAAATGGCCCATCATTTTCAGACCAAGTGGGCCCAGGCCCCGTGTTCACAAAGATTTAAGGATCAGGATCAAGATTAGGATCAATTTAAAAAAAACTCATATATTCTTCATTGTTTATCCTTATAGATTAAATATTCAGTATTAACTTAATAAAACTGGACTTGAGATAGCATGCTTATGAAATTTTAGAATGAATTTATTGTTATTTTTACAAGATATGGGCATTTTACAGTTGATCCAAATTTTGATCTTGATCCTGAAATTGATCCTTATTTTGATCCGATTATTTTTGTATTTGTTTTGTTATTTGTTGATTTTTCCCCAAAATAGGTTGGTTTCTTTGCAAGTAAGCAATTATTTATATTCCGAATATGTACCATTTACTTCTAGCATAATACCATCAATTTTAGTTGTATAAAACAATGAAAATAAAATCAGGATCATCTGATCCTGATCCTGATCTTTTCTTTGTGAACACGGGGCCAGGGCATTCTTGGCAGATCTCTGTCCAGGTATTTGGTGGAAGTTTTTTTGTGCATTATTATTAATTTTATCTACTTTATTTTCGCTGTCTAGTTGTAGGTATTAAGTGATGATTTAGCACTTGCAATAATTTAAAATGAAAAGAAAGTACAAACTGAATTGAAGAATGTGGAAGTTTTATTTGTTTGCTGATTCTAATATTATTATATCTTTATTTTGCAGCATGTTCAAGCAAGAAAACACCACACTATAGTGGTGGTGGAGGGTCCTCACATAAACCAGCAGAGGTAAGACATTTTATCATTGTTGCAATGTTGTTAAAAAAAAAAAATTCCTGATGTAATCCGTAATATTAAAAAAAAAGACTGTTCTCACTTTCTATTTTTTTTGTTTAACAATATTCTTGAATGTTTTTTGACATAACACTGTTCAGAAATCTAGATTTCTGAAGAAAATGTTTGCAAAGAATGATATTTTACTAGTATATCTTTATTTTTTAAACGATGAATATTCAAGTTTTTTCTAATGTATCCCTTATCTTACATTAACTGCATCATTTTTGTGTCGCCTCTACGGAGTAGTGGCGACATATAGGGATCACTTCTCCGTCGTCCGTCTGTCTGTCCGTCCGTCTGTCCGTCCGTCACAAAACTTGTCCGGACTACCCCTCATAAACTACTGGTGCAATTTCATCCAAACTTTACAGGAATGATCAGTATCAAGTCTAGTTGTGCATATTGTCAGCATTTTCCGGTTCAATGATTTTTGTCAGAGTTATGGCCCTTTAATAGTTTTTATTTTTAAAGTTTGTCCGGACTAGTTCTCTTATACCACTTATGCAATTTCAATAAAACTTTACAGGATTGATCTGTAGCTCAAGTCCTTGCGCATATTGCACGGGTTTTCCGGTTGAATGATTTTTGGCTGAGTTACGGCCCTTTGATAAAAAGGTGTTTTTTTCTGTGTGTTGCCAAAAACGCAAAAGCTTGTCCGGACTACTACTCATAAGCTACTGGTGCAATTTTATCCAAACTTTACATGATTGATCAGTACCAAGTCTAGTTGTGCACTGTCCGTCTGTCTGTCCGTCTGTCACAAAATTTGTCCTAACATGAAATTGGCCATTATGAGGCGACACATGTGATTACTGATCGCTCTTGTTTCTATATCAGCTGTTCCGTAAAGATTTAATCAGTGCTATGAAGTTGCCAGACTCGGAACCACTTGCTCAGGAAGATTACTTTTTGATAGCAGATACTTGGAGACAGGAATGGGAGCGCGGAGTTCAAGTACCAGTCAATGAAATTGTTATTCGTTCTGTAGATCTCAGGTACAAGCATCGGTTCCCAATAATCATTGTAAATTTAGTCTTGGTTATAAAGTTTAATTGCTTTGTACAATGTTTAATTCAGATACGTAGAACTTCTATAAATTTTGTCAAACTGAAATCCCCCCCCCCCCCCCCCCCCCCCTTTATTCTTTAATTGGTGTGTCAAAAGTGTATGAGATCTGTAAAGAATGAATCAAGGACATTTTACCATAAATATGATTAAGTCCATCAGTACATTTGACACTTTTGATCTCAAAACATTTTCCTGGCCTCAAGGATGATGTAGGATCTTTTTGTATGATAGGTGTAAATTACACAGTGGTGTGTTCTAACCGCATTTGTGTGCGTTCAAATTTGTGATTAGTATGTTCAAACTGTTATCATATATTGCTTTAGTTGTATTTGAAAATAAACAGTATGAATAAGTTTTGTTTGAGAAATTTCCTGATCAGTTGCCGCATGATAATCATGCAGGATATATGAGCCACGTCACAACAAAACCAACATAGTGTGTTTGCCGACCAGCACAAACCACACCAGCCTGCTCATCCGCGCAGTCTGATAAAGATCCATGCTGTTCGCTATCAGTTTCTCTACTTGTTATATGGTTTGTAAGCTAACAGCTCTACTTGTTATATGGTTTGTAAGCTAACAGCATGGATCCTGATCAGACAGGGCTCTCGTTAGCATTTTGAGACCGGGGCCAGGGTCCATGCAGGGGGGGAATTTTGCATGATTTTCAAATATTTTTCCATTCAAGGGGGAATTTTTTTTTTTCGGTAAGACTTGAAATAGTGCGACATGTTGGAATGCTAAAAACTGTCCGGAACGTTTTATTTATATATGTACTAATTTCCAATTGCCGTTCGCAGAATACGTACTAATTTCCAGTTGCCATTCGCGGAATATATATTCGCCGATCGGCGTTTTCTATGCCTGTTAAATATTAATTTCAACGGGGATTTTTCCGGTTTTAGGGGAAAAAAACACTTTTGGTGGGGGAATGGGCCCCAAATTTTACCATACTAGAGCCCTGTCAGACTGCGCGGATGCGCAGGCTGGTCTGGATCCATGCTGTTTTCACAAACGCATTATGTTGATTTTGTCATGACACAGCTCATATTTACTATAATTTGATTGAGTTACTGCCCTTTCCTTTTGTTACGCTTTTTGTAACTTGCTTGAAAACGTTGACAACTCAAAAATTTGTCATTAAATTGATATTCATGAGTCGAAGTCCATATGTGAGGAAGTCTTCATGCAAGTCCCTTCAACTTTGACTTATAGAAGTTCTAGTAACTATACTTAAATTGCACTTGTTTATAATATCGAGTCAGTTTTCAATTATTTTCGATTATAAATTCACAAATGATTTTAAAAGAGTATGATTGTTGAAGTTTTTCATACTAAACAGCGGTACAGACTGTATTTAATATATATGTAATGAAGAAAATTTATTGCATGTTAATTTGTTCTCAGGGAGGTGACAGAAAAACCTGTTGCAACTGGAGATTTTAAAATGTGAGTTTATTGAATTTATTTATTTTTAAATTGGCTGATACACTTATCTTGAATTTTGTTTCAATTTAGGAATATGCAATGCTCAAAGAACATTTAAATATCATGAATGTTTTAAGTGACAACTGTAATTTTTAGAAAAGCATTTGCTGCAAGTTTCATTTCATGACATTCAAAGCATTTATGGGCTTATCAATAGCAAATTTATATAGAGAAGGTGTCAACATTATCATATTGCTTTTGTCAATAAAGTGTAATATTGATGCCAATATAATATTGTAATATAATGTTATATTGATAATTTATTGTTTTTTCGTATCGCTGATTCGACACATGTTATCATTAAAAGAGATTTTGTTTTTGTGCCGATACACAAGTTCGACACAGTCTTAAGCACATGTGGCCCTTTGCTGCCAATTTTCCTCTGCCATGTTTATGTTTTAGTGCCAATGGCACAAAATCGCCTTCTCGGCAGATCTATGGTAGCAATATATAAACAAAGTAGTAACTAGTATTTTGACTTCCATTTTATAAGTGTTTTATAAGTTAACAATGTTTCAGACCTAAGAAGTTCCTGCATGCTCAGAAAGATGAAACATACCAGCTAGGCCAGCACGAGTTAACTGGTATGTCACAGTTGTCCGAGCAGGTTGTAAGATATGACCTAGATGATCTAGATGTGTCTTGGCTTAAACAGCTTAATGTACAGAGGGAAGAAGTTGGTATGTTGTTATTGTAGTTAAATATTATTACTTACCACTACAGATATATAAAGAGCGTCAGTGGTCGAGCTGTTAAGGCCATTGACTTAAAACTTCTTGCCCCTCACCGCTATTGGTTTGAATCCAGACGGGGACTTTAAATTATTTCATTAGAGGAAGTTATCCAGCTAGCTTACAAAAAGTTGGTGCCTGTTCTTGCATGAAATAATGCACAAAAGAGCACCTGAGGTCTTCTTCCACCAGTAAAGCTGGAAAGTGGTCATGTGACATATACTGTGTTTGTGCGACCTAAAACCCAACCAAAATAAATAAATAAACAGATATTTAAATATATTGAATGATTACCATATGTCACAAATTAACAGTAAAGAGCTTTCAGTGAAGGTTCCTTTAAATAGTATACAGTATAGCATAGAATACTTGATAGAATTAGAAGTTAGAAATAGAACATACATTATGTATGTTATAAAATTGGGGGGAAATTGGTTAGTATATTCTGCTTTGTGGTCGAGGGGTTAGAGTCGATGACTTCTAATCCAGTTACCTCTCTGGCGTGGGTTCGATCCCTGGGAGATGCTTTGGTAGTTTAGCGCGGAGGAAGGTAGTCTAGTACTGGTGTAACTCTCCAGGAACGATGGTTAGGAAACTACCCGCCTATATGACTGAAATACTGTTGAAAAAGGCGTAAAATAAAACAAACAAACAAACAAACAAATATTCTGCTTTACAACTGGCTGTTCCTTTCCTCAACAGGAGAGATACAGATTGTGGAGTGGACCATGGAGAGAGTGATTGAGGCTCTTGAAGCTCAGTGTCATGAAAACATGGAGACTAAAAAGAAAACCGAGGAGGGCCTTGGTATAGAGTATGATGAAGACATAGTTTGTGAAATATGTCAGTCTGTAAGTAAAACGCTTAGCCTTTGAAGTATTATTGTAATTTTCTTGTTAACATATAAGGATGATTAGATAAGAAAAATAAATTGTTACTATTTTAAGTATTGTAATTTTCTTGATTAGATAAGATCTTAATAATCTTTAAATGCTATTTATCTTCAGATAATTGCCAAACATTTACAATATTATTAAAATGTATTTATGGGATACGTAAAATGAGTAATAAAACTGTTCTATAGATTATCTGTGACAATTAATCTCAGACATTGAGTCTAATGGTCATTTGTCTCTAACTGTTGATTCAAAAATCATGTGGGTCACTTGAGGAGAAAGTGGGTTTACTGGTTAGATTTCCATGAAAATTGATTAAGAGAACTGACCACTTAGAGATGACAAAATAAAAATGTTTTAAAATCGGCATAAAAACCAAGCAAGCAAAATGAACAGCAGAATATTTGTCATAAATAGATAAAGGCATGAAAATGTTCATGTATGATGCTTAACAAGTGACATATCTTAAGGCTTCATGCTTTTGAATTTAAGATTACTGGTTATATTGTGTAAAAATTAAACAAATCATTTTGTTTTAAGAAATGGAAGAGGAATTGTAGATATTTATTTATTGATGATTAAACACATGTTAAACATATATAACAACATATATTTCGAAGGTCATGTGAATGCTGTGATTTCCAAAGTGTTGTGGGCTATTTCTTCTAATATACAGCACTTTATTAGAACATAATAGTAAAAGTTGGAAATCATATTTTTAAATTCACTAAAATTTTCAAAAATTGTTGTCAGTCCACATTTATTACAAGGGTTACATGCTGCTCAATATGAGTTGTGTGACAAAAACATAATAGAGCCTGCTCAGGCAGTCACCATACTTTTTTGTCTGACAGTGGATGTCATTGTAGATATTATGTTATTATGACACTTACATGAATAAAGAAGGAACATAATTATTTAAGGTATAATTTAAAATGATATTGCTCAGTTTATTTCCCATCTTATTACCTCGTACAGTAATGATGTTTCTCAAGTGAGATATAAACCTGTATATTTCAGCCTGATAGTGAGGATACAAATGAGATGGTGTTCTGTGATGGCTGTGATATATGTGTACATCAGGTAATATATTTACGTAGTATACAATACATCAGATAGGAAAATGTATTTTATTTAAAGATTTTGGATCCCTTATGAGTATAATTCGAGCCACCATATTGATATTTTCTTAAATATTGATACCGCAATAAAAATTGCCCTATCAAATGATAAAATATGTGTCAAAAATTGGGATATGAAAACAGTATTAAGAAGACAAGAGCAATTTCAGAGTTATTGTAATATTACCCAGCATTAGTGGGTTTTTAACAATTCAGTAGGGTTTGTTATCTGTTGTGTTTTTTTCACCTTCAAGTAAGCTGGTGTTTAGAAATCCCAGTATCTCCTGCATTTACATGGGATATGATTGTCTTGAAAAGAATGTTAAATGATATTTTAGTAATAATCTGTCAACAAGTTCTTGTTGGGTTTTTTTTTTGTATTTGAATAGCTATATTTATGGTTGTTTATATTTAGGCATGTTATGGTATTCAAACAGTACCTGAAGGTAGCTGGTTATGTAGAACATGTGCTCTAGGAATAAAACCAGCTTGTATACTCTGTCCTAAAGTTGGTGGTGCCATGAAAAGTACAAGGTATGCTTATTTTTCAAAGTACATTTACTAGTTTATTATCTGACTAATCAGTTTTGATAGGCATTGCTTCATGATGTGTTAGTTATTTTAATGTTCATGTCATATATTGTACCTTTGTTCAGTTATTTTAAGGTGTGTTTCATATTTTTAATTTTGTTCAGTTAAACCTTTGTATGTTTGTGTCTGGAAAAAAAAACACTTAGTATTATAACAACAAAAATTAAGCAATATTTTTTGGTTATCAGAAAAGTTATTGTACATTAAGTAAGAAATTGTGTTTGTTTTAGGAGTGGTACAAAGTGGTCCCATGTAAGCTGTGCTATATGGATACCAGAGGTTACTATAGGACCTGTGTAGAAAAGATGGAACCTATCACAAAAATTTCCATGATCCCTGTAAGTAGCATTCACCTCATGTTGTATATCACTGAGGACTGCACACAATTAGTTGGTTCCCATTTACAAAGAATATGTGATGTATATCTAAGATGGGAACTAACAAAGGAAAATAGTCCGGCATTTACATATATGGTACCATGTTTTTCCCCTATAGAATATGGATTGATGCCCTCCTCGGATTCTATCCATTAAATCATATAAGCCGCTCATGATTCGAGCGTATTTAATGGAGAAAATTAATTTATATTTACATGATAAATGATCATGTTTCTTTATAATTCTAGAAGATATTTGTTGTATGTTTGGTTTAGTCCTGATTAATGTACAGATAAACATATTTGTGTTTCAGGCAAGTCGGTGGTCTCTTATATGTTGTATATGTAAGGAGAGGTGTGGAGCTTGTATACAGTGTTCTGTGAAGGCTTGTAAAACAGCATTTCATGTTACCTGTGCCATCAGTGAAAAGCTAGAGATGAAAACAGTGCTAATAGAAGATAAAAATACTGAAGATGTCAAGTTAAAGGTTTGTCCATATTTTTTGTTTGTTTCTGGTGCTTCTTTAATTTCCTCTCTATTATTAAGTGAAAGTATTTTATTGTGATTGATCAAATCACAGTGGAGCTTTGTTGTTTGTTTTTTTGTTTTGTGGATGGTGGGGTATTTTGTTTTCTTCTCACACTTTGGAATGGGTCAGGGTCTGTACATTATTGAAGCTGTTGAATAAGTACTGAACTGCAATTTATCAGTAACTGATTTGTTAAAATTCAATATGTTTTTGTCTAAACCGGATATCATTTCTTTTATTCAAGTGAAGAGTTGATAATATTGTTACTGTTTCAGGCATTTTGCCCCAAGCACAGTAGAAAGAGAGACAGAAATAGTTCTGAGTCAGAGACTGACTCTCCCAGGAAATCTGTCAATGGTACACCTATAAAAGAATGTCAAATGTCCGAGGAAGAAAAGGCTACTATCAGGGCTGAAAGGTTTCTACTTTACAAGTTGTTTTATTTTAAAGTTAAACTGATTTTGTTTATGCAAAGAGTTATGTTTGATAATTGCTTTGATTAAAATACAATTTATACCAAACATATTCTTCCTCCACCAGTAAAGCTGGAACGTCGCGATATGACCTATACTGTGTCGATGTGACGTAAAACCCAAAACAAACAAACAAACAAACAATTTATACCAAACATATTCTTAATTCATAATTTGTTATTACACAATATAATTCAGTAACAAGAGTTGTATACATGACATATTCCAAAATGTTATAATTCATGTCACATGAATGACACATTTATATGGTTGAAATTTATAGATTGCACAAGTTGGAGGAAGAGTTTTATGGCTTGGTGAAGGTACCAGAGATAGCTAGTCATTTAGAGTTACCAGAAGAGGTTGTTGACCATATATTTGTCTACTGGAAACTTAAAAGAAGGGTATGATGATATTATCATGTTGTTTGATAAATATTTATTCAAATTGTTTGAAAGTTAGAAAAGATATTGAATGTATGATGATATTTACTTATCAGATGATATCAGTTGAATAATATTTAGAACAGCTATATGTAAAAGTATAGAGCAAGTACCATGATAACTCCTTGCAATTATATAATAATAAAATGTTTAATGATTCTATTAATCACATACAAAATGATAATGCCAACCAAAACACTTTTACTCTCCTTTTATATAATTGCCTGTGTTGTAATATATATTATTTAATGCCATATGATTATTTTATATTACACAGTCCATGTTTAACCGTCCATTATTAACTCCGAAGACTGAGGAGGCAGATTTACTAGAGAAACAACAGGAAGACAGTCTATTAGCAAGGATGAAGATGTTTGTACATCTCAGGCAGGATCTAGAGAGGGTATTTACTTACATCTGTTATCTTTGTTCGTTATAAATAGAACAGACACTATGTGATGCCAATATGGAGATAGTCAGAATGAAAAAACTTGGGGTTCACTAGTTTTAGTCTTAAGGAAAGCACTGAAATTTCTATGAAGGTTAGGCTGGAGATCTTTATCCTTCTTTGTGTTGTTTATTGTTGTATAAAGATTTGCAGACTAATGCTGCTATACCTGTCCCCAGGTATCTTGGATGATGTTCCAAACTTATTGAGCCCAATAGACTCAAAAGGACGATCACATTACTAAACTAAGAATCACTAATAATAATAAGAAATATTGTTTTATTTTGTGGAAAATTTCATGTGACAATTGGGTCAGCACACTTATATTTGAGATAGTGAAAGTAACATTTTGTTACTGATATTTAAACTTCAAATATTATCTCCTCCTGGGTATTTCTTTTAATATTTTTACATACTTCCCTGTTTTCAGTGTATTGTACATCTGAAAGAAATTTGGCTTATAATGTTATGCACCTGGTCGTCCCTCTTTTAGCAATTTTGTGTCTGCTCAGAACTAGTGAAGCAAAATTTAAACTACTTGGCAGAATTGTTACATAATGAGACTTTGTGCATAGCGTAGGTTTTGGCTTCTTCTGATCAAGTCGAAATCTTCATGTATGAATTTTAAAAACGTTTCTTATTTATCTACTGAACCAATGCAAGGGCATTAAAACTGTTTGGGAGAAATGTTAGTAGTAATGAGACAATGTGCAGAATGCAGGTTTGGGCTTTGTCAGATCAATGTCAAGGGCACACTGAGTCATATAAAATACTTATCCACATGTAAAGAATGTGAATAATGATCATCTCAGTATTTGCATGACCCAAAGCTTAGATATATTTGGGATGTAGCATTAGTTTGTAGTCCTCTACAGGATTAATATAAATTGCAGCCAAGGGATTTCTAGGTATATGGCATGTAGCATTACCTAGTAACCCTTTTCTAATAGTTTTAATGGATTAGTATCATAAGTATAATTAATATAAACCATGTTTTGGACATTAATGGGTATTAAACATAACTTAATTGAAAGATTATTTTTTGATCACTCTTTCATTTAAGTAAATAATACCCCACCTTTGCGATGCTTTTGACTTATTTTGACTTAAATGATTTATTCTTACAGGTACGAAACTTGTCATACATGATAAGTCGCAGAGAAAAGATAAAGAAACAGTTTAATTCTGCGAGAGAAAGTGTATTTTATGCTGCTCTGGAGGTACTTACAGATAAGACACTGAATCTATCTACCAGGGAAGTAGAAAAAATTGTGAAAAATTACAGAGATTTACCAGAACCATATGGCAAAACTTTAAAGAAGGTGAAAACAACACCGCCAGAGAATAAAGCTGCAAAGGTTGTAGCAAGAAGACCTTCTGAAATCAAGACTGAGCCATCTGAATCAGATATTTTTGAAAATACAGTGAAATTAAAAGTAGAGGAACCATCAGAGAAGAAAGTTTTAGAGGGTAGAAAATCAATCTCTGAAACCCCAAAATCTAGAAAGTCTAGACTGTCTAGTAAGCAAGAGTCTAGTGTAAAGGTTGAGACTGATATAGACCTGGCAGAGAAATCCACAAAAGATAAGAAATTAGAAGAAAATTCTAGTAAAAGAATAAAAACAGAAAAATGTATAGACAGACATGCCAAAGCAGCAAAGAGTAATTCTGAGAAAGAATGCAGCGATCAGAATAACTCAGGAATAGAGTTAAATGACTGTTCAGGAGATGAAACTCTGGTCAATATTTCTCAGGAAAGCTCAACTGTAGAAAACTCTACAATAGTGCAATCTGAAGCAGAATCGAACACTGATAAAGTCATCCAAGATTCTCAGGCAGTGAAACATAACAAACGTGGTAGACCTAAAAAAGTGAAACAAATTAAACCTGAGGAAGTACAGACTAGTGATGATAAGGAGGAAAGTAGTGCAAAGACTTCATGTCGGAAGGTAAGAACTAGATCAAGTTTACCGGAGATCGTTCATGAAGAAACATCTCTTTTAACCAGTAATTTTGAAGAGCATGAAGAAGAAACAGAAACAAAGTCAGAACTGAAAGAGAGTAAACCTAAAGTTATAGCAGAAAAACGGGATAGAAGATATTCTTCTGTTAAACTATCAGAATCTGAAAAAGATGAGCTGATACAGAAGTTTCCCTCAGCAAGGAATGTTTCAGATCATGTTAAAGCAGAACTAAATGGCTATTTTAAGAATAACAAGTTAATTGTTAGCAATAAACTCAGACAGAAAGTCCAAAATGCCTTACTAGGTGGAAAGAGAAGAAATAGAATAGGCAAAAGTGTTGTAATTGACCACTCACAGAAGAAGATTGATAACTTCTTTGTGAAATCTCCACCACCATGTGATCCCCATTCTCCAAAAAGTACTGCCAAAAATGTTTCTAGAGTTCTAAATGAGCTATCACCAACCAGGGATAGATATGAGGCCAATAGTATTGAACGGACTGCATGGACCGGAGGGGCGTTAAAAGTTACAGACATTCATATAGCTAGACGATCCAGTAACACTCAATCCAAACATTCTCCTTCTTTGTCCAATATGGAGAAAAGTGTAGAAAAAAAAATTGTCACCCCTGAAAGCAGGAAAGTGCGATCCAGGTATGATAGTGGTGAAGTTATCTCTGTGAAAGAGAAATTGTTTGACGGTGAAACAAAAAGAATAACAAGAAGTAGCCGTGAATCCACACCTGAAAGTACAACTAGTAGTGTTAAAAGTTTTAGTAGTTTTAAACATAGGGCAGAAAATACTCGTTTAAGAACTAGGTCCAATACTCCAGTGTCTATAGGCAAAGATTCAGATGAATCCGAGTCAGAAAATATTTGCTCAGAGTCTAGACATTTAAGAAGGTGATAATAACATAATTATGTTTAACAATATATAAAATATGTTCTTGCTTTGAATATCACAATATAAAAAAGAAAATATTATTAGCACCTATTGTTAAGGATAATACTTCCCTGGATATTGAAACAAAAGCTCTAAATAATAAATATTTTAGTTTGAAAAGTTATCACATTTAGAATGAAATATCTACATGTATGTTAAAAGAATTTTTAGGTTGGCTCTTCATTTAGAAATTCATGAAATTAGTTTATTCAAGTTAAGTTTGAGAATTGAAAAAAGAATAAGTTTAAAAATGATGGGACAGAGAACTTATTTCAAGATTCAAAATGTTTTTAAACAATGAAGTGATAAGAATTTTCTTGCCTTTGAGCACAAAATATTGTATCAAGAAAATGTTAAATACTGAAGAAAATTTTGAATTAGGTTATTTTCATTTCTAGTAATAGATGAGATTTTGAAACATGTTTAAGAAAAATGCTCAAATATTTTGTTTTATTTATGTTTAAAAAGGTGTTTTACTGGACAATACTGTCAGATTATGTATATTGGGCATTATTTACCACTTTTTTCTTAAAGAAAATTAATGACACAACATACAGTAAGAATGTATTGGACACTTGATGTGCAAATTTAAATGGTGACATATATACATTTATATATTTTTAGCTCGACTATTGTAATCACCTAGGCATCTGCGTCACACTTTGGTTAATATTTTGTGGTATCTTCAAATCTACTGAAGGAAATTGGTCAACACTTAACATGTTTATTCTCGGTGATTATCTTAAATGATTGGCACAAGTCCCATAACTCTGCTATTTGCATATTTATTCCCTTTTTCAACGTAGAAATACTTACTTAAATTGTTGCATATAAACTGGTATCTCCGTAACAACTGAAGGGAATGATTTGAAACTTCACGTGCTTGTTCTATGACCCAAGTGAACTTAGAAAATTCTGCATTATCCAGGCTCTTGTTTTACTATCAAGCACTGAGAAAAGTCAAGCACACTTTTCTAAAGACAGCTCTTGTTAAAACTGGATTCAAGTGAACATTATTAGGTACTTTGTGACTGGCACCAATTTTCTTCATTCACCATATTGTGTGATGAATACTAAGACCCATATTGTGTGATGAATACTAAGACCCAGATTGTGTGATGAATACTAAGACCCAGATTGTGTGATGAATACTAAGACCCAGATTGTGTGATGAATACTAAGACCCAGATTGTGTGATGAATACTAAGACCCAGATTGTGTGATGAATACTAAGACCCAGATTGTGTGATGAATACTAAGACCCAGATTGTGTGATGAATACTAAGACCCAGATTGTGTGATGAATACTAAGACCCAGATTGTGTGATGAATACTAAGACCCAGATTGTGTGATGAATACTAAGATTAAGTAGACACTTGTAGACTATGTGATCTTTGAATTTAAAGCCATATGAAAATTATGATCATTGACTATCACAATTTTGTACATTTGTTTTGTACCCATGTTTACACAATCATGTATGACAGTTATTTATATTAAACAGCAGTTTATACATTTTCTTAATCCTTAAATGGCATTATTTTTAACCTATATAAAACAGGTTTTTGGAGACTCGTCTTTATAATATACAGTGTTTGGACACTTTTTACACATTAACCTGTAGACTATCAAACTTTGTTTTACACATTAACCTGTAGACTATCAAACTTTGTTATATTAACAAAGAGTAATTGTTTAGAGTACTGAACCCTCACACTTGTCAGTTTTATAGTTAAATATGGACCTGATTGTATTAGATAAAGATTGAATATTGTGATGGCTGTACATAATTTAGTACAACCTGTTCTATTTTGGTCACTTCCACTAATTGTTAAGCTCTGTTCAATCAGAATTTAGTTTAAGACACACATTTGTAAAATAACATTTCATATATGAAGATAGTTTTATAATTGAAAGTTATATTGGAATCATTCCTGGAAGGGATACCGGTACTTCTTGTGTAACTGTTGTTTGAATTGTGTAGTTTTAAAATTGATGTTGTTTGAAATATTTTATACTGAAGTATATGAAGCACTTGAAATTTCTATTAAATGTAAATATATGTATTTATAGACGAACTTTGTGGACTTATAAGAAAGAAATATATTAAATCTGACCTTGCACAATTTTTGTGTTTTTATTTTTTTGGGCCTTTATGTTTCTTTTTAAGACACTTCTGACTAAACTATAGCATTGGTATTTGCTAGGTACCTGCTAGTGAAAAAAGAATAGTAGTGAAAAATTTTGGTGTATGACATTTTCAGTTTGGTGCCCAGAGTGATTCACTGATTAATACTGGTGACTTGGGAATAATCCAAACTTACTGTAGTAAATTACAACTTCTCTAGTATTATAAGTGATTTAAAATCCCCACTTTGCATATTTATCAGTAATGTCTGTTTTTATATGACAAATGGAGGAGTGTCTGTATGGTAATATGTATATGGACTTGAAGAATGTCAAAGGGAGTTGTACAAAAATGGAACCTGGAAGAGATATTTTGAATAGGTATTTGTTGCAATACTTAGACAATGCATTTGTCTAGTTCCATGTTCAGTTAATCTGTTGTCAATTCCTTTATTTATTATGTTTTTACTGAACTGCAGACAAGAATTTAAACAAGGTCTGTGTATAGGCAGCATGTTCTACTTTTCTGTGCTGGATTATATACGAGGGATGTCCGGAAAGTTCATATACTTCTTCATTTTTTATTATGCCACCGCAGCATCTGCGATGCGGTGGCATATAGCGATTCACCTGTGTGTGTGTGTTTGTTTGTGTGTTTGTTTGTTTGTGTGTGTGTGTGTTATATAGATTATATAGTGAACTTAAAAAATCTTCTTGTGAAAAACCACTAGTCCAATTTCAACCAAACTTGGCAGGATTGATCCTTGGGTGAAGGGCTTCCAAAGTTGTTCAAAGAATTTAATTCCATGCAGAAATCTGGTTGCCATGGCAACCAAAAGGAATTATAAGAATAAATTTAAAAAATCTTCTTGTAAAGACCCAAAAGGCCTAGAGCTTAGATATTTTGCATAAGGCATTGTCTGGTAGACCTCTACCAAGATTGTTCAAATTATAGCCCTGGGGTCAAAATCGGCCCCGCCCCGGGGGTCATTGATTTTCACTATATGTACATATAGTAAAAACTTAAAATACCTTTTTGTAAAGACCCATAGGCCTAGAGCTTAGATATTTTGCATAAGGCATTGTTTGATAGACCTCTACCCAGTTTGTTCAAATTATAGCCCTGGGGTCAAAATCGGCCCGGCCCCGGGGATCATTGATTTTCCTCATATTTACATAGTAAAAACTTATAGTAAAAACTTTAAAAAAATTTCTTCTAGCAATTGACAAATGCTAGAGGTTAGATACTTTACATGAAACATTGTGAAGTGAACCTCTAGCAAGAATGTTCAAATAATAGCCCTGGGGTCAAAATTGCCCCCACCCCGGGGTCATTGATTTTCAATATATACATATAGTAAAAATTTAAAAAATCTTATTGTCTGAAGGTACAAGGCTTAGAGCTTTAATATTTGTTAAATGATATCATCTATAGGTACTCTAGACTACCAAAGTTGTTCAAATTTTGCCTCTAGTGTCAAAATTAAAAGTGAACTTTGATATCAGCTGACCTAGATTTTGACAAAGTGTATTACATGTTGTCCTTTGATGCAGTCATGAAATTGTAGGCTGTGTGAAATATGACCTTCACCACCAAATTCACTAGACTCAAGTGCATTGATATATTCCTACTCTGATCTTTTATTGAGTTAACAATAGATTTAACCACTAATCTGATAATAAGAATTAGATATGCATTATGACAATCTTCAATTGTATAGAAACAAAAAAATCTGTTCCTACACTACTATTTAGTGTTATATTATTGCGGTGGCATAGCATTTTTCTCAAATGCAATCTTGTTGTATAACCATACGTTGTACAAATTTTGTCAGCAAAATTATACATATCTATATTAAAAATTACTAAAATGTGACTTACATTTGTATTTTAACAGTAATTACATACAACATATATACATCATCATGGAGCACTTTGACAACGTCAACGGCATCAAATTAACAACTTCATGTTTACCTGCTATTCAATTTCTTTTGATTTCAACAGCCATGGTACCTGCCAGGCGTATACTTAATACATGTTATGTTGGTTTTATTTTATGAATTTCATAAAGTAAAGATTAAAATCTAAGTTGGTACCATATTAGCGTTGCTATGAAGTTGAATATCATTACGTTGCTCCGCCCGTGAATTCGACGTCATTTTTGCGACACAAAATTTATGCACCATCATTGCCTATAATCGTCGTTAACAAGCTGTTTATTTGCGTATGACGTCATAATTTTCACTAAACATCATGTAATAGTATCTCATGAAGTCACAAAATTATAACGAGAGTTTGCGCTAAAATTACAACTTTTAGCAATTTATCATTCGAGTAGCTATCGTCATGAAATCAAAGTGCTCCCTGATTCGTTGATCATGTTGCCATGGTAATCAGCGCTTTGCGAATATTTCTTTTATCATGTTTTTTAATTCAGAAATATGTAGCAGATAAATACTTTAGCAAAATATTCAATCATCATATTGATATGACTGCTTATAATAATTTTATAGCCTTGTCTACGAACTTTCCGGACAGCCCTCGTACAAACATGTATAAATGCAAAATGCATCATGTCACTGTTGAGTCATCTTTAAAACAGCGTCCCGAGAGCTTTCTATAGCAGTGACGTTTGTTTCTAAAAATAGAAGAGCAGAAAACAAATCGTCAGTTTACTAATTTGGTTTAAATATATTTATTTAAGCTTGATTGCGAAACAATTTCTTGCAACTTATATTAATCACTTTCCAGTATGCTTTCTGGAACCAACCATTACTGGTGTCAATATAAAGAACAATCATGGTCGTGACCCAAGTAGGACATCCTTGAGTTGAGAGGCAGACACCTTGACCACTAAGCCACTGCTCCCCTTCCACTAATTTACATATAGAGAGGGGACCAGTAGATTAGAAGAATCGATGGGTTTCCTTATTATGTATTCTATCTTTTCCATTTTGATTCGACAATGAAATGATTTATCTTAAACTTTGGAAAAAGGCCGTGTTAAACCCAATTAAAATCATCTTCATTATATCCAAAAAAAACCAACAATTTTTTCTCTTTGGATGTAAATTTTATTCTGAAATAAACCTTTTTAAAGGAAATTGGGAACATAAAAGTTACTGCTGCACATGTATATCCTATTTCCTGTAATATTGTCATGTTTCAGTGACATGCACCATGACCTCTTGTAACATGTTTGTAAAGAAAAGTTAGCACATGTAATCATACTTTTAGTCAAGGTTAAATTGGTTGTTTTTAAGAGCACTGATGAAGATGTTCATGTTGATAATGTAATAGCTAACTTCCTGGTAATTCTGGTCCACCAGTATGATAGTTTCCAGTTATCTCGGCATTACTGAAGTCCATCCCAGGATTCTGCAAGCAGAAGAAACACGTGTCCAGATTCACATGTATACTATGTATATATAATCTGTTGTGTACAGTAGTATATATATAGTATGCAACTTGACAGATACTTGGATTTACAGGTAATTAGTTAATATTTTCACCATTCATCCAACTCCTTCAAAGGCAGATTCCGTCTGAAAATGCAGAAAAATTTCATTAAATGTGATGAAATAGCTCCATTACGGTCAAATAGCCTTTAAATATTAAACATAAATGCAAGTAAAGCACTTAAAATGGAAAAATCTACAAAGGACAATAAAGGAATATACTCTAAATTAACTGAAAATTGATTTCTTTTGAGTGAAAAGCATTTTCAGGTTATTTGGCACACTAAAATTGATTACTCTGAAATAAACACGGGGTGAGAAAATGATCTGAAAAGTTGCACACAAGTTATTGGTCCAGAACTACATCAAATGGTATACAAATTTTGGGGAAAAAATATTTTCTGTCTCGTATCAAAAAACTTCAGTAGAGTCCCAATACCATAATTTCAAAAAACACCATAATTTTTTTCTCATAAAAATGTACAGAGATAAAGAAATAAGTTTATTTCAAAATTAGGGTCTTTGCAGTTACATGTATTTTGATTTATGTTAAAACATATTATTATGAACGTAAGTCATATTTTATTTCATGAAACACCCCCAAATTTTAACCCAAAAAACATCTTTTTTACATTTTTTTAACCATTAATTAAAAGGCCCGGGGGAAAAAAATTGTAAAGGTTAAAACCCCCTAATACTTGCCATTTTTTTGTGAAATTTAGAATATTTTCCCTTTCCCATTAAACTAATTGTATTAATAAAAAAGAGGAACAGTTAATCTTTCCCCCCATCAAAAAATTTTTAGAAAAATATTTTCCCCGTAAACAATTTAGATTGAAGTGAAATTAAAAAAAAAAAGTTTAACCCTTAAAATTTTTCTTACTTTTTTACCCGGTATCTTTGAAGTGAATTTTTTTTGCATCTGATATTGTATTGGACGCCTCATACCCGCCCTTTTTAACCAAAGACTCCAGCACTGGGCAGCTGTTGCATACCCTTTTACCCTAAACATATAGCAGGAAAAACCCTGTCCCTGTTCATATAAAACCCCTGATTGTTAAAAAAAATGGGATTTCTTTTTTTATAAAAGATTTTCACTCAAAATTATCCCAAAATATATATTTGGGAAAAAAAAAATGCTACAAAATAAATAGGGGTAACCCACTAGGCCTCCTAATTTAAAATTTATTTTTTAAAAAAAGTGCTCCAATTTTTCATATATGGACTGTTATACCCCCGAAATTTTTTAAAAACAAGAGACCCTTTTTGGCTTATATTTCTCACCTGGTAAATAGGGAAAGGGATATACTGGGAGAAAAAAATTTGAGGGTTTAAAGTGGCCTTTTTAAATGTTGTTTTCATTTCAATTAAAAAGCATAAAAATTAAAAGAAGTGATTTAAAATTTTTTAAAAAAGAACCTTTTAAACCCCGACTGGAAATTAAATTTTAAAAAAGAACAAGTTTGTAAAAAACAAATGCCCCCGGCTCTGATTCTTGTCAGTAGCAATATAGCAAAAAATGTTTACCCATTCACTCAGTTATGGACAGAAACATTGCCAAAAAATTGTAAACACAAGTTGTATAGCTTGACAGAGTCATGGCATTTTGTAATTGTGAAATATATAAGTTGCCAAGTCATTGCTATGACTTGTGAAGTGATAAATATTCAACTTTATCAAATATAATTATATAAATGTAAGAAATCTATACTTGGCACCCTTGACCTTGACCCACTGACACCTATAGAATATCATGCATGTTATCTTCCTACCAAATATGAAATACACCTGTCAATAAATAAAAGCCTGTATGGGCAAAAATGTTAAAATCTATTTTGAGCATTGATGGACCTTGATCAAACTGACCCCTAACTCAATCCAAGGAAGAATACCATGCAAGTTATCTTCCAACCAAACATGAAATAAATCTGTCAAAAATAAAGGCTGTATGGGCAAAAGTGTAAAAATCTATTTTTAGCACTTGTGACCCTTGACCCAACTGACCCCTAACTCCATCCAAAGTAAGAATAACATGCAAGTTATCTTCCTACCAAAATATGAAATATATCTGTCAATAAATAAAGGCTGTAATGGGCAAAAGTGTAAAAATCTATTTTAGCACTAGTGACCTTGACACACTGATCCCTAACTCAATCAAAAGGAAGAATACCATGCAAGTTATCTTCCTATCAAATAAGAAATACACCTGTCAATAAATAAGCCTGTATGGGCAAAAAAGTGTAAAAAATCTATTTTTAGCACAAGTGACCTTGACCCACTGATCCCTACCCCAATCAAAAGGATGAATACCATGCAAGTTATCTTCCTACCAAATATAAAATATATCTGTCAATAAATAAAGGCTGTATGAGCAAAAGTGTAAAAATCTATTTTTAGCACTGGTGACCTTGACCCAATTGACCACTAACTCAATCAAATTTTATGTTCCTATCAATTATAAATGACATCTGTAGAATATGGTTAATACACCTGTAAAAATCTATTTTTAACATTGGTGACCTTGATATTGGTGACATTGACCTTGACCCAAATGACCCCTTACTATACCCAAAGAAGGAGGACCTCCCTTGGGATGTTTGTATTAAACATGAAAGACATCAACCAAAAAATAAAGGCTGTATGAGCAAAAATATTTAAATTTATTTCTAAACCAGTGACCTTGACCTTGACCCTAGAGACCACTTACTCCACAAAAAATTAGAGGACCATTAAAGGTATCCACCAACCAAATATGCATGATATCATTAAATAAATTAAGCAATTAAGAGAAATTTACGTTAAATCCAACTTGCCGGAATAGGTTAACCAGACAAGGCCCTATTTTCAAAGTGAAAAAAGGGAAATAACTTGGAAATATGGATGACACAGTTATATAACTTGGCAATATCATGTACTTTGTATTGATAAGTAAGTGTGGAAATTATGAAGCCATTAGTACTATAGATAGAACTTAAGATATTTCCAACTTGCCGTTTTAGGTTAACCACTATTCATTTTTTAAGTGCTGAAAAGGGCAATAACTTGGTAAATATGGAAGCCATAGTTATGTAACTTGACCAGATCATGTACTTTGTATTGATTAGTAAGTGTGTAAACTAAGAAGCCATTGGTACAGGTAGAATTTAAGAAAAATCCAACTTGCCGTTCTAGGTTAACCTCGTACGGACAGACACACGGACGGACGGTTCAATTACTATATGCCCGGGGGCATAAAAAAGAGCATAAGTCTTCACAAATAAACTTGGAAGGTAACCTGCCTTTTAGAAATAGTGTCACATTTTGAAATCTAGGTTTGAAGTGATTTAAGTAATTATTTTTGAAATAGTGTCATTTTTGGAAACCTAAGTATGCATTCCAAGTTTGAAGTGATTTAATGTTTGTAAATTCTCAAAATAGACTCAGCAAATGCAGATCCACTATTTTCCTTCGAAAAAGAAGCTAATGATACTAGATTGCTAAAAATAAACTAAAGAAAGAAGTATTTACCTATAGTCCAAACGCTGTCGTCACTTTTTACAGTAGCTGTTAGATCTCCCTAAAACAGATACAAAAATTTGCAAGTCACAAGTTTTAATTCAAACAGTATTTTGCTGTGCTTAGAACTACAATTTATACAGACTTGAAATGATGATTAAATTTCACAACAATTTTAGGTTCTAATATGAACCTTTATTAAAATAACAAGTCCATTTTTTAGATTTCAATCCTAATGGATGACAAACACATAATAAAACAAAAAATTCTTTCAATGATTTTGCAAGTTTGTGTCCTGAAAAAAAGGATTCCTATTAAAATACTGAAGAAGACAAGAGGGCCATGATGGCCCTGAGGTCCCTCACCTGTATATATCCCAGTCCCCCCCCCCCCCCCCCCCCCCCCCCCCCCCCCCCCCCCAATGTTGCAGGGTCAATTTAACCCCAGGGCTTTTATTTGCACAAACTTGGTAGACACCCATAAGAAAATGTTTCATGCTAAACATCTAAGCTCTAGCTCATTGGGCTTTTTAAAAGAAGATTTTTTTAAGTTTTTTACTATACACATATAGTTAAAAACAATGACACCCCTGGGGCCGGGCCAGTTTTGACCCCAGGGCTTTTATTTGAACAAACTTTGTAGACACTTACTAGAAGATGGTTCATGCTTAATATCTTAACTCTAGCTATTTGGTTTTTTCAAAAAGAGATTTTAAGTTTTGCTATACACACATATAAAGAAAATCAATGACCCCCGGGCAGGGGCCAATTTTGACCCCAGGGCTTTTATTTGAACAAACTTTGTAGACACTCACTAAAAGATGTTTCAATGCTTAATATCTTAACTCTAGCTATTTCGTTTTTTTCAAAGAAGATTTTTTAAGTTTTTGCTATACACATATAAGGAAAATCAATGACCCCCAGGGCAGTGCCAATTTTGACCCCAGGGCTTTTATTTTAACAAACTTGGTAGACACCTATTAGAACATGTTTGATGCTAAATATCTTAGCCATAGCTCTTTGAGTTCTTTAAAAGAAGATTTTTTAAGTTTTAACTATATGCATATAGGTAAAATCAATGACCCCCCGGGGCGAGGCCAATTTTGACCCCAGGGCTTTTATTTGAACAAACTTGGTAGACACTCATTAGAACATGTTTCATGCTAAATATCTTAGCTCTAACTCTTTTGGTTCTTTTAAAGAAGATTTTTTAAAGTTTTTACTATATGCATATAGGGAAAATCAATGACCCCCAGGGGCGGGGCCAATTTTGACCCCAGGGCTTTTATTTGAACAAACTTGGTAGACATCCATTAGAACATGTTTCATGCTAAATATCTTAGCTCTAGCTCTTTGGGTTCTTTAAAAGAAGATTTTTTAAATTTTAACTATATGCATATAGGGAAAATCAATGACCCCCCGGGGCTGGGCCAATTTTGACCCCAGGGCTTTTATTTGAACAAACTTGGTAGACATCCATTAGAAACATGTTTCATGCTAAATATCTTAGCTCTAAGCTCTTTGGGTTCTTTAAAAGAAGATTTTTTAAGTTTTTACTATATGCATATAGGGAAAATCAATGACCCCCCGGGGCGGGGCAATTTTTTGACCCCCAGGGCTTTTATTTGAACAAACTTGGTAGACACTCACTAGAAAGATGTTTCATGCCAAAATATCTAAGCTCTAGCTCTTATGGTTTTTTAAAAGAAGATATTTAAAGTTTTTTCTTTCGGTTGCCATGGCAACCAGAGTTCTGCATAGAATATAATTCTTTGAACAATTTTTAAAGGTGACCACCAAAGGAACATTCCAGTGAAGTTTGGATGAAATTGGCCAAGTGGTTTATGAGGAGATGTCATTTAAAGTAAAAGTTTACGGACGGACGACGGACGGACGCCGGACGGACGCCGGACGAAAAGCGATCACAAAAGCTCACCCTGTCACTTTGTGACAGGTGAGCTAAAAAAAGGATAAAATAATCACAAAATAACCGTAAATATTGGACTAGCACTTTTCATTTTTATAATCTACAAAACAGCCTCTTTCAAAATCATTTTAGTAACAAACAAGTTTAGGAATGTAAATGTATTGTTGCATTATGAAAATTGTAATGTAATTCAGATATAACTGACCAGCAAGAATTTCTTTACCTCTATAACTGTTTCTCCTTTTACTGATACATGTAATCGTTTTGGCATTATGTTGACTTTGACCTGTTTTCCAATGGTTCCCTCCTCCAGGTTAACTTCTACATACACCTCATCCATGGTCTGATACCAGCGACCCCACACTGTTGTACATGCTGCAACTTCGCTTGTCTCATCGAAGTTTGACATCTCTCGTCAGTATTTACAAAAATGATCTTTTTCTTTCAATCTGTACCAATCTATTTCCAAGAAAAAAAATAATTTCAAAGAGTTTTTGTTTTAAAATCTTTCCTACAAATCTAGTTTATAAATATTTATCAAAATATATAATAGGTAGTTTTAAATAACTATATTTTATTGAATAGGGTAAAAAATGAAAATATAACAAGGGTGCCATAGTCACAAAATACGCCCGTTTACGAAAAAGCTTTAAGATGGAGATGGGGGCATTATGGATTAAGTGTTATCTAGCAAGCCAAATTTTTATTCTTGGCACAGTGGTTTTTAAATGAAAACCTTAAAACAAATCAATAGGGAAGATATGCACAGAATGGTTTTTATGAACCTTTGACCTTGGTCGCAGGGACCTGAATTTTTATGCACGGCCCACTCAGCCTCACAATGAAACATTTGTTGCCAAAATTCCTTTTTTAATATTAAAATCCCTCCTATGCCATGTAGAAGTTTTGCCTCCAGACAAGTTGTTTTTTCTAATGAGCTCTAAACTTGGACCTTCACCTTTTACCTAGAGACTTGGGTTTTATGTTGCAGGGCACTAAATCTCATGGTGGTGAACAATTCTATAAAAGGTAACATTAAAATTCCCTCCATGCATGGTAGGAAAATATGCGCTTCCGGACAAACATCTGGATATTTAATCATCTCCAGTGACCTTGACCTTGCAAATATTAACCTAAATTAAATGTGTAACACCTGTAGTCATGATAGTTACCATTTGTGCTACAATCCATCAATAAATGATGACTAAATGGTCCCTATAACCATCTTCAAATTTTTATCTGAACTTTGACCTCTATGTGTAACCTTGACTTTGGTCGCAGGATCTGAATTTTGCATGCGACACTCAGCCTCACAATGGTGAACATTTGTGCCAAGTTATATTGAAAACCCCCTATGAATGTAGAAGTTTTGCTCCGGACAAGCGTTTTTCAATGAGCTCTAAGTGTGACCTTGACCTTTGACCTGGAGACCTGGATCATGCATGGAGCAATACATATCATGGTGGTGAACATTTCCATAAAGTATTATAAAAAATTCTTCCATACATGTAGGAGATATGCTCCAGACAAAATCTGGATATTTCACCATCTTTAGTGACCTTGACCTTGCATATATTGACCTAAAGTACATGTGTCACAGCCGTAGTCATTATAATGACCATTTGTGTTACAATCCCTCAATTAAATGATGATTAAATCGTCCCTATACACATCTTCATATTTTTATCTTTTTTTTAAACGGGCATATAAAAAGTACAAGTAATTTAATAACTAAAAAATTCTGATTTAAGATTTTATTCTAGGGAAATACATTTAATTACAATTCTTAATCTTTGAATGAGCTGAACTGATATTTACTTGAAAAATTAAAATATAATTAAATTTCTATGAGAAAGTATTTACATTTGATAAGGTAATTACTGTATGATCTTTATTGAACAAATACCAAGTCTACAGAACACCATAGTTATCACAGTTAAGAATCTTGACCAATGAATGAGACATGTGTAAATAAATGTTACATTCTTTAGAACATACTCAAGTCCAAGAAAGAGGATTATTTCATGCCCTTTGATTAAATTCTATTTTTAGAATTGAAAGTGAAAATAGATCAAGGGGAGTAATTGTGTAAGTCATTTATGAACAAAGTAATAACTTTGTTGTCTCCCTTTGATTAAATTCTATTTACAAAATCTGAATATTTCATCATCTTTAGTGACCTTGACCTTGCATATATTGACCTAAATTATATGTATCACAGCCATAGCCTTGTTAATGACCATTTGTGTTACAATCCCTCAATAAATGATGACTAAATGGTCCATATACACATCTTCATATTTTTATCTGAACTTTGACCTCTATGTGTGACCTTGACCTTGGCCGCAAGGACCTGAATCTTGCACGCGACACTCCGACTCACAATGGTGAACATTTGTGCCAAGTAATATTGAAATCCCTCTATACATGTGGAAGTTTTGCTCCGGACAAGCATTTTTCAATGAGCTCTAAGTGTGACCTTTGACCTAGAGACCTGGTTCATGTGCGCGACACTGCTCCTCATAGTGGTGAACATTTATATGAAGTTTCATTAAAATCCCTCCATACATGTAGGAGATATGCTCCGGACAAAATTGGACGCCGCCTGCCCGCCAGGGGCGTTCCCATAATACGTCCCGTTTTTCAAACGGGCGTATAAAAAGATCTTTCATCTTTAAACTGTACACCTATTCAAAGATTTTTAAATTTAAACTGGAGATGACTCCCATATTCATAATTCATATTTAAATTAATTAAAGATAACAAAGGCTAATAATTTGGCAATTGTAATTGCTCTTCTATATTTTTATGATTGTTCCACTAATGTTTATCAATAATTCACAATATTTTTTTTACCTCTGAAAAAAGCTGCATCTCCTAGCCATTACATTACTTATTATACTAGCATTATGAAAACAAACAATCAAAACAATTGTTGTATTTAAAATTTTTTTCAGTAGATTTTGATTTTTTGTTGTTTACCCCCCGATAATGGGATAACCACTTTGAATTCACCCCGAGGGACAGTTCTTTACTGCACCCCCAGGGGTATAAATCTGACAAAAAACCCTTGAAAAGGAAAAAGCTTTTATATCAAAAAAAGACTTTACTTTTTAACACCTGTACAGGTTTTTGGGTGAAATTTGCACCCGAGTTTTTTTTTTTGTCCGGGAAGGGTTTGGGAAAAGACATTTAAAAATTTGGGTATTTAAAAGTAGGTGGCTATTTATTGTTTCCCCTTTTTTTTTTAGCCCCATAACATAAAAATAAGCCATGTAAAAAACTTACAGAATGAATGACATCAAAGAAAAGTACAGTTACTAGCTAAAGAGACTTCAGCAAACAGGTTTTATAGTACTGCTAGACCTGTTCTGTTACTATCGCATAACATCAAAATAAAAGCGACATATGAAATTATGGCAGCCAGAACTACAGTTACCTGTAACCACCCAAGTACACAGGGACACAATGAATTCCTTCAAAAGTTATGCTGCAGAAACCAACTGTATTGGGACTTTGGGCCATTTTTTTTTTTAATTACTTTCTTCCTCTTGTTTATTAGAGGGCCATTAAGTGCCTCTTCATCTATTGCAAATAAGGCTCCCACGTTTACAATTTTTTGTAAACGTTTACACGATTGCTCAGAACCGAAACGATACCGTTTAAACGGTGGTACTTCTTTGTACTATACTACACCATGTATTCAAGTCTCAAATGATGACTTACTTTTTATTTACAAATAATTTAATGTTCAGGGCTCATCACGATTGAGTCCACACACATTTTCTGCATTGTATCCTCATTTCGCTCTTTTGAAAGATCAAAGGATAATCAACTTTACCAATGTATTATGTCACGATTAGTGCACGGTAATGCTGTGTGAAGGGTTGTAAATACCTATTTTCCGTATTTTACTTTGGAATAAACCAATTACAATTGATAGAATTCATGATTACATGCAATGATTTAGATATTTTGTAAAAGAATATAGTCATTTCGATTAAACTGTAAACATTACCGTAAACATTTTTGACTGAAAATCGAAACGACTCCGTTTAAACGCGTAACGGGGAGCTTTAATTGCAAAGGAATGAATTCTGTTGTTCATTTTTGTTCTTTTAACAGTTAGATGCCTGATTCCCCCCCCCCCCGCCATCCCTATTTGGTAGTGCAGACGGAAAAACAACGTCATACCATAATATGTCCTGAAGTTTCTCTGGACATATAAATCTGTTTGTAACAAGGGTAAAACTGTCTATTTACATTGTACTTTTGAAAATGGTTTAAAAAATCACTGTCTCTCTTGCCAGGATTTAAGATTTTTGGAAGTACCACAACACTTGCCCATGGAACATAAAAATCAAGAGGCCCCTATCTATTTTTATTTTTGTTAATCTTTAAAGAACATTAATTCTAGTAGCCTACGTTTACTCGAGATTATGAATTACGGACAGGGCGGACCGTGAGACAGGGCGGACCGTACCAGGGCGGACCGTGACTCGAGACTAGGCGGACCATATTTTGGGACAGGGCGGACCGTCACTCGAGACGAGGCGGACCGTGATTTAAAAAAGTATTTATATGTGGACTAATGTAATAAAAGTATTAAATTATTGATGTTTTTGTTCTTCGTATTAATATTTCAATGCAAATATAAAAGTAAAAATATAAAATACAGTAAGTTTTAAAAGTTCTTTGATGTGTCTTATTGTTTAATAAATTCTATTTCAGTGTTCTTTTTATTTCATGTGTCTGTGCTTATTATGTAAATTTTAATAAAATAGTTTTGTTCTTTAAATATGTCACTTCATTTTTTGTTATTGTGTTGTATTGCAAATAATTTTAATGTGATGTAATTCGTTATCATTGTTATTTCGTGTATTGTACAACAAAATATATTTTTTTATGTGTCTTATTGTTTAATAAAGTTTATCAATTTTAGCAGCGTTAGCGCCTTATACAAACAATGACATTGTAATATCCCGATAATTGGTCAATTATCACCTGCGTAAGTCGACGCAGTTACAAATAATTTCTTGAAAAAAAGTATTAAACTACTCTAATATATATGTTAGATTGAAATATTATATAAAGAAGACCAAAATCATCCACAATTGAATACTTTAAATACTTTTTTAAATCACGGTCCGCCTCGTCTCGAGTGACATCGCCCATTCAGCAAATTAATATACAATTACACATGAACTTTTAAAACTTATTATATATTTTTACTTTTATATTTGCATTGAAATTTTAATACGAAGAACAAAAACATCAATAATTTGATACTTTTATTACATTAACCCACATATAAATACTTTTTTAAATCAATGTCCGCCTCGTCTCGAGTGACGGTCCGCCCTGTCCCAAAATAATGTCCGCCTAGTCTCGAGTCACGGTCCGCCCAGGTACGGTCCGCCCTGTCTCACGGTCCGCCCTGTCCTGCAGGCGAGATTATAATGCTATCCGAATATTTTTATCCGAAAACATTAAATCATTCAGATTAAACTGGCAGTCAAGTAAGAATACATGCAGTTTCGAAAAGAAAAACACACCTGAAATTATTGTTAACAAGTAAATTACGCTATTTTTTTCCCAAAATATCACTACTATCGCAAATTGCGGAGGAAAACGGGAAAACACAGCAGGTAAATATTTTAGCTGACTTGATAATTAAATTGTCGTAAAAGGTAAATATTGTCAATCATTACAGATTTTATAAAAATTGCCTTTTTCACTGGATATTTTAACTTACCCCTAAACGAGACCTATATGCATTATATTTTCTGCATCAGCATTACTATATATTTTACGACAACTTGCCTATTTGCGTTAAGTCCACATGCCGGTTTTAAAACTGTCAACAAATTTTGACAGGTTGCATCATTTAGCTCCTTTATAAGTACAGGAACCCATATCGAGATTATATACGTTTAGTAACGTAGCGGACCGTTTAGGTATTCCATTTGTATTTGATTATTGAAATCGTTAGATAGCTGGCATATCCAGCAACTGGATGTGTGTGTGTTTGGTGGGGGGGGGGGGGGATCCTTGCATAGCATTTGTTAATTCTGAATAACTTTTAACATTATAACACTTCTTCTTCTTCCGGGTAATGTGCTGGGCCCCTCTGGAGCATCGTCGCACAATTGTGACTATTTACATGAGTGAAGGGAACATCAAGTGCAGCTAAAAACAGGTTAAAAACACCATGCTCCAGAGTTACTCGTGCAGCACACCCATCCTCGTCTTGTAGACCTCTAGGGACGGGCTGTCATCACGACTTCTGGTAGGCTGTTCCAAAGTCGGATCCCAGAAGGAAAGAACGAATACTTGTATGAGTTGACACTGGTGAAGGGTTGTAGGTACCCGTTGGCATGGCCTCGGGTGTGTACTCCAGCAGGGATCAGTATGTGATGGGCTCCGATATCCACCAGGCTGTTAATGACTCTGTACATCATCACTGCTTTGGTTTGCTGACGGCGGGCTTCTAGAGTGTCCCAGCTTAGAGCTTCCATCATTGCAGTAACGCTGCTGGTGTAACGATAATCACCTGTGCAGAACACGGCTGCTCTTCTTTGGCAGTTCTCGAGCTTACTGATGTTGGCCTTGGTGTGTGGGTCCCATACTGACGAAGCATACTCGAGCTGAGGTCTAACCAGTGTTTTGTAACATGTCGCCTTGATGTTCTGTGGACAGTGTGATAAGTTTCTGCGTAGAAAGGCAGTGGTGGTGTTCGCCTTCTTTGCAGTAGCGTCAATATGGCTGTTCCAGGAAAGCGTATTGTCAAGTGTGACATCCAGATACTTTGCCTTGTTCGTCTGCTTGAGTGTTTGGCCATGGATGGCATAGGACCCAGTTATCACTTTCCGCTTGTTGGTAATGTGAATCATCTCACACTTATCGGGATTAAACATCATCAACCAGTCTTGCTCCCACTCTTATAGGCGGTCAAGATCCTGTTGTAGTGCAATGCTGTCTTCCTCAGAGCTGATGGTCCTTATATAGTAGGCAGTCATCTGCGAAGAGGCGTGCTGTGGAGGAGACCCTGCACGGCAAGTCGTTAATGTAGACTAGAAACAAGAGAGGCCCTAGGACTGTGCCTTGCGGGACGCCTGATGTGACTGGTGCTGGAGAGGATGTCTTCCCGTCGAGTACTACTTGTTGTTGACGGTGTGAGAGGAAGCTGTTGATCCAACCCAGAGTCTTGCCTCTGATCCCATAGTGGTGAAGCTTGGCCGAGAGACGTCGATGGGGGACCTTGTCAAACGCCTTGGAGAAGTCTAGTAAGATGGTGTCGATCTGCTGTTTGTTGTTCAGGCCCGTTGCAAGTTCCTGGACTGTGGTGATCAGTTGCTTCTCGCATGATCTCTTCTTCCGAAAGCCATGTTGAATATCGGAGAGGATGTTGTTATGATCGAGGAAACTGATCACGTGGCTATGGACAATGTGCTCCATAATCTTGCAACAGATGGATGTCAGCGAGACTGGGCGATAGTTTGAAGGCTTACTCTTGTCTCCCTTCTTGAATAGTGGTGTGACTAGTGCGCCCTTCCAGTCATCTGGTACTTGGCTCTGATCGTGTGAAGCTTGGAATATGAGTGTCAGCATTGGTGATATGGCTGAAGCCAGTTCCCTCAGAAATCTGGATGAGATCTGGTCCGGTCCAGTGGCCTTGTGTGGGTTGAGATTCTCCAGGAGCTTCTTGACACCCTTCTCATGGATCTGCAGAGGAGGTGCTGTTTCTTGAAGGTTAGGGCCCATGTTCGGTAGACTCTCAACATCTTCTTCAGTAAAGACGGAGGAGAATTGGGCGTTGAGTATCTCTGCTTTGGCACATGGGTCGGAATGGCTGATGCCATCTTTCTTGAGTGGTGCAACGCCTGAGCTGTCACTCCTCATGCTCTTGACGTACGAGTAGAGCTTTTTGTTGTTGGTACCAGGCTCACTGACCATGTTCCTAACATACTCGTTCCTGGTTTCTCGGCACTTTTGTTGATTCTGTTTCTGGATGCTCCTGTAAATGTCCCAGTCTGTCTGGTTCTTTGATTTTCTGGCTTTCCTGTAGGCTCTTTTCTTCTTTCTAGCTAGACGCCTTATCAGTCGATTACACCAGGGTTGATTGAATCTAGTAGATGTCAGTTTAGATGGCACAAACTCATCGATGGTGTCTGAGCACTTCTTCTTGAAGAACACGTGTGGGACTTATCTCTTATATTTGATACATATTTGATTCAATAAAAAAAACATCCCATTTACCACACAGGCCCTTAGAACATTTGCTTTGCCAATAACGATAAATTTTAAGTATAGGACTAAATTTTAACAGTGTTAAACCTGCTTGGAACACTTTTCTATGAATGGCAAGCAGCTAATTGTATCAATATGTTTACTCGTAGTGGATTTGGAGAGAGTGTAACAGTGTAAATTATGCTAGTTACATATCTTGGCGAGTTATATATCTTGTATATTGTATATATTTTATATAGTAAACTGGTGCTGGATAGTAATTATGTTCTTTATGATCAATCAATCAAGGGGAGATTATTTTATGATAATTTGATTATTATTGGCAAAGCAAATCTGCAGAACACCTGTGATTAACCAAGAAGTCAAAGCCTAAGGGATAAAGTCTAAGTAAGGTTAGTTCTAGCTCTGGTTTCCAAAATGTTATATGCCACTTTTATGACATTTTTTCTTTCGTCTGATGGGGCATTTAAGTTCCACATCTAACCAGAATAAGACATGTTGGTGAAACCTTGTTTAAATTTGCAATTGACCTTTTCCTGATTAATGCTTTCGTATTATCCAATAAAGTGTTCTGGTCAACATCAGCAAGTTTAATTGATGTTTCACAGTATGATGACAGTAATAATATTTTTTTGATAATTTGAATAGTCCAGAAAGATGTTGAAATGCTATTTTTATGGGATATTGCGCAAGAATAAATCAGGAAAATGATATTTGCAAATTATATGTTTTGTATACTTATATGTATTTTTTTTGGACATATTAGAGAGAATGGCTCAGCGTAAAGGTACAGCAAAGCTAACAGAGCTGTTGTCTATAGAACAGCAGATGCAGAAGAAATGGGAAGATGAAAAAGTATTTGAACTTGATGCTCCCAAACCAGGATCAGAGGAAGCTAAGTATGTCTACTTCTTGTCTAATGTCATGTACATATGAGCCGTGTCATGACAAAACCAACATAATGCGTTTGAGACCAGCATGGATCCAGACCAGCCTGCGCATCCGTGCAGTCTGATCAGGATCCATGCTGTTCGCTATCAGTTTCTCTACTTGTTATAGATTTTGGTAAGCAAACAACATGGATCCTGATCAGACTGCATGGATGCGCGGGCTGGTCTGTATCCATGCTGGTTGCAAACTCACTATGTTGGTTTTGTTATGACGGGGCTCATATAAAAATAATACATGAATTTTCATCAGATTTATCGCCATTTCAAAACTCTCTTAAGTATGTAGACAGCAAATAATAAGAAGGTATTTAATATGCTGGGTGTCATTCTTATTAACATTTATGATAAGAACATCATTCTTCTGTTCATTTTAGAAAAGTAAATATGAAAATAAAATAAAATTAAAAACAACTTGAAATGTACCAATTAGTAATGGATGTTAATCAGATTGTGGACAATATGTACCAAGCTTTGTATTAAATTTTGAACAGTATTACGCTATATATAATGAAATATTTTTATAGCAATTTATGAATGATTGATAAAGTTATGATATTTCTATTATTTTGTTGTCAATTATCAAAGGGTTTGTAACATAGAATGTCTCTGTTATTTAACACACATAAATAGTATGTGTGAGTTCCAGAATAAATATTAAAATTCTGCTATTCTAAGTCCAGTTTTAACCATTTACATTCTTTTAACTGTCGCGGATAAAAGTACGAAATCAAAGCTCTGTTGTTATAATGTATTATATCAATTTTTATTTCATAGGAAAGAGAAGTATATTGTTACATTTCCATATCCATACATGAATGGACGTCTGCATTTGGGACATACATTTTCCCTGTCAAAGTGTGAGGTTAGTTTAATTTTGTTCAAGGACTTTTGATCTGATATATTTCAAGTTGATACATGTATATGATTATTTTTTTTTGTAATTCTTGAAATTTCTTAGTTGACATTTTATCAAAAAAGATTTTTGCTTTCTGTAATTATTGTTTAAATTATAAAGAAGTAAAAGTTCATGTACCCACCATGTTTTGCCAATTTTATGCAGATCTGTGTTGGTTACCAGAGGTTGAGAGGAAAAAGATGCTTATTTCCATTTGGATTTCATTGTACTGGAATGCCAATTAAGGTAAGCAGTTTTGTTTGAATTTCTTAATTGGTAGTCATTTACTTTGTTATGTTGCTACATGAGATAGTCCTCTCTAAAGTTTGATCACATTTGTTGCTTAAAGCCATTTTTAGATGTTTTCATACACAAGTATCCTCATAAATAATAAACATGCAAGTGACTTTCACCATGCAAGTTTCCTTTGGTTGAACTGAAACTAGAAGAAAACTCTAAGTAATGAGTGGAAACACTGTTTACCAGTGACAAACTTGCTCAGTCATGTCTAAAATTGTTTGGGACTATCTGTCTGTAGTTTATTCTTAAAGTTGGTCCATTTTGTTGTTGATAGGCATGTGCTGACAAACTAGCACGAGAGATGGCAGATTATGGCTATCCTCCACAGTTCCCAGTTGTCGAGGAGGAAGTTCAAAAGGTTGAAGAAACTGAAATTGTTATCAAGGATAAAGCCAAAGGAAAGAAGGTATGTATAAAGTGAGGATCATCTGTCAGTTTGGTAGTCTATTTTGAACATCAGTATGTAGACCTGTTTAGTGAATTGCAAGTTTTACAAAGATAAAAGAAGTAGAAACTTTTATGAAGTAAATATATTTCTTTTTCATTTAATTTGTAATAAAAAATTCACTGTACTTGTTAAAAAGAGTGGCTTATATTACCTAGGAGTAACATATATATATATATAGTTAGATACAATATAATAATTATAGTCATTTTGTTACATTTCTTTATGCATGTATATGTGAACATAGGAGAACAAAACTTAATTAGATTGTAGAGCATTATTTTAATCTTGATTATTTTGGGGCTTCTACCTTATTAGAGTAAAGCACAAGCGAAGTCTGGTGGACAGAAATACCAATGGCAGATAATGTCATCTCTTGGTCTGACAGATGAGGAGATTAGAAAGTTTGCTGACCCTCATCACTGGTTGTACTACTTTCCACCAAATTGTAAAGCTGATCTGATGAGAATTGGTCTCAAGGTTAGTTTCTGTACAATATTTATATCATTCATCTGTATAGATAGGGAAACCTATCCTATTCACCAAGGCACCTGCGTCCATGTCAGCATCACTAATTTTTTTACAGCCCTATTTTTTCAGACAACTCAGTCATAGATTATCTTATGACTACATTCTTATACATGACGTTCAATATACTTTCAAAGTTTTTAACAGCTTAAGTTGTTTTTTTTTGAAGACCTTTTTTTTTTGTTTTTTTTTTTTGAAGACCTGCTCTTATATGAGCCAATCTGATGTCAGATTTTTCTGTTAAACACAAAAAAGGTCAACAAAAAGGTCAAAGGAATTTTCTCTACTTGTAGGAATGCCTGTTTGGTATAAATGCAGAATTATTGAACTGTATAAGACTTTACCTGCCCAAAATGAAAATTAAATTTCTTGACTTGAAAAATCAACTTGTCTCCTTGCATTTTATAGTGAATTTAGATTCAGGGTGATTAAAAAATCAACCATGCTTATCTAACATAGCAAATGTTGCAACAATCAATTTGACAGAAGAAGAAAATATCAGACATGACACATGATGGAATAAATGCTGTATGCAAGGCCTCAGTTCTGAAATATGATAATGTAGTTGGCTTTTGAAAAATGAATGGAGTACTTGCATTTGAGTCAAAAGTGTAAATCAAAGTTTACTGTAACAATCTTATATTCCGTCAAATTTAAATCAAAACATTATTTGTTTGATGTATATTTGTACATTTTTTGTAAGAGCCACTAATATTGCTGATTCCAAGGTCATTTTTATTGGCGTTTTATGTTGTAATGTTACAGGTTGATTGGCGCCGATCATTTTTCACGACAGATGTAAACCAGTACTATGACTCATTTGTCAGATGGCAGTTTTGGCGTCTGAAAGAAAGGAACAAGATACAATTTGGTAAAAGGTAAAGCCTACTGAATTTTATCTCAGATTATGCCATGTTGTCAATTGTATGACTTGAATGCAAATTTTAATTAATCAGACATAATGTATCAATTAAGCAGACGTTGGTCAGAAATCTGGAAGAGGGCTTAGCCTGTCATTTTGGGAAACTCAAGTGCAATATTATGTTAAATTGGTGACATAGGGGAGTAATATTTAAACAACAAACAAAAAGTTCCAATTATGGAGTACATCTTAGTACTTAGTACTACAGTATCACATTTTTAGTCTTAATGAATTCATCCTTGAATGTTAAGGCATTGATCTTCTTTAGAACTTTCAGATGGTGGGACAGATGTATTATGGGAAATAGTAAAAAATTCAGTTAACTGTATTATACATTTATTTTCCTGTTTTTGATGGTAATATCATGTTGTTTTGGTGAATTATTTCAGATATACAATTTACTCCCCGAAGGATGGTCAGCCATGTATGGACCACGATAGGAGTACAGGGGAAGGAGTTGGACCCCAGGAATATACTTTGATAAAGCTAAAGCTCCTGAAACCTTATCCAACCAAACTTAAGTATGAAATATTGATTTGTAGTTAACATGCAATTTAAACACAGCTATTTGATAAACACATGTAGTTTAATATTTGTCCTTTGTTTTACATCAACCTCTCAATGTTTTCACTTTAAACTTTTTTTTTACTTTGTTTTGGGGGTCATAATTGTAGATAAATTTCTAATATTCATATTCCATTTATGGATTTCAACAAAATTCTGTGCCTTTGTATACTTAACAAAATTTTGGTTCAAGTTTTCTGTGCATGTTCTCAAGATCAGAAGTAGATGGATATACTTTTAGGTTAATTATCAGGAAACATAACTCTAGCAAAGAATTTTACTGAATAATCAATTATTCAGCTTTATGAAATTGTATAGTCAAGCAAACTTTCCTGTGACAGCTCATGTCTTTATTGCTCATGTTGCTCAGGTAATTAGATATGAAGCCTTGTTTTTGTAGGTTTTTCAATTACATTACCTGTTTCTTTAATTTATAGTTTTTACAGTATTTCAGCTGTAGAATTCTGAAATATATAGATAAGGTATTATGAAAATGTACAGTAGCTAATGGTCCTAAAGAAAGTAAATCAGAATAGTTTTAATTCCTCCATTACACATTCAAGATCTTTAAACCAAAATGACATTTTTATGTTTAGATCGCTGGAGAAAAAGAATATTTACCTAGTAGCTGCCACTCTACGTCCAGAGACAATGTACGGACAGACAAACTGCTGGATACAACCAGAGATGAGATATGTGGCATGTGAGCTAGCCAATGGGGAGGTGTTTATTAGTACACATAGAGCTGCCACTAACATGAGCTACCAGGGTTTTACAAAGAACGATGGTAAAGTGGACATTGTTGCTGAACTGATCGGACAGGTAATATTGAATTCTATTGGCTAATTTGCTTTTTTAATCCCCTGTCACATAGCATATAACTATTTCTTGCATGTCAGACAGGATGATTTACTGTTTACACTGGTGCTAGAAAAATATGTCTTACACCCCACCATGTAAGACAAGTCATGTGTTTTAAATGATGTCATTTCCATGCGCCTTTTATGAATGAATTGCATTTTGAGATGACGTCATTGTGCAGTTATGAGGAAAGTTGTAAATCCATACTGTAAGAAAAAAGTGTTAAATGAAAATGTTAGTTTTCGTATTTTTTCTCCGAAATATCATTAGTTGTTATATGCAAGAAAAAGAATCAAACACTGGCTGTCGAAATAGACTGGAGCCTTGTTTAATTTGAACATTTAAAATGTGTTTGCTTTACTACACATTGGAATACTATAATTTTATTTTATGCTTTTCAGTGGATTACTGATTTATCCGTGAAAATTATATTTGGTAATTTCACAGTGAAAATTATCAAAATATAATTTCACTTTTTTCAATGACGAAACTACTTTTTTAAGATTTTCCCCATGTGGTACCTCAATTTTATTTTTGCTGACAATTCTGACAATGTCAGGCTGTTTAAAGAAAAAACAAAGCTGAAATTGATAAATACCTTAAACGTCAAAAGTAATAAAAAGGATAAAACTTACTTCTATTCATTCAAATTCCAATCACCAAATTTCGTCTCTAAATTTTTTGTTTCATTTTTACAGTGAAAAATACATTCCTTCCACATGCAAACTGCTCTTGATGACATTTGGGCATAGTAAAGTATCCTACGAGTAATAACTGCCGTATGCTTTATGAAAAATTGAAAAGCAATGACAGCTACAGCTCGTAGAACAAGTAAACCACCCAGCGTTCCGAGCAAGTTCCAAGTCTTCCATTTTCATAGCTGCTTTTTTCATGTTTTCACATCTGTCAACACTTATTATTTGTCTGTTTCAATCCTCAAATATGTTTTCTTTCTTTTAAAAAGGTGTATGACTAACAATTCCAAATGATATCCCTCTGAATCAAACACAATTATTTTCCTCCCGTGAAATACACAACTTTAAAAAATGGCTGCCGCTTACATTTAACAAAGCCAGGTCTAATATAAATTCGCAGTAAGTAACAGAAATATGGATGGATGGTTGGAATTTTCTCCTACACGAATTGTTGTTTTTATTATTAAAACAAGCGATCATTCATATTTTTTAAACAAAATAAATAATATCACTGTCATTTAATGTTGATTGTCGGACTTATTTTTCAGCTCAAGACTTCTTGTTTATAATGAGAAATTCGCACAAAATGGGGCTCTCAATGGGGAAACAGATTTTAATATTTATGTTAATATTATGGAAATTTTGTTTAAACTTGTTTTTTAGCATAAAATAAAAAGAAAATTTGTTTGTTTGTTGTGTAAGATGTAATTTTATTTCATCTCGTGAACTTTAAAAACAGTATTCTCACTCGTGGCTACGCCACTCAGGAGAATACTGTTTTTAAAGCCCACTCGATGAAATAAAATTTCATCTTACACACAAACAAACAAATATCCTCTATATAATCCTAAATAATATATTTTAAATGATTGAATGACAATGTCATACTTAAAACTTGAAAGGGCATAGGTTGTACAGATTTATTTTAACTATTTTTAGGATATAATGGGAGTTGCCTTAACAGGACCTTTGACAGTATATGACAAAATCTATACACTGCCCATGCTGAATATCAAAGAAGGAAAAGGTATGTATTTATTTCTTTTATTAATATCCTAACTTTACAGTTTTTCTTAACTTACCTTGTAGATTAATTTAATGTTAAGTTCATCTGGTTGTTTGTCTGTCTGTTAACAGTTTTTTTGTCTGGTCTGTATCTTTTGAATGGATAGAAAGAAACTGAAACTATTTGGCAATAATGTGTTGAGCGCAGGTTTGACCTTACTAGGGTCATAAGTCGCACTTAGTTGTGTCACACTTAGTTATTTTGTTTCAGTTTCAAAATTTGTGTCGGCTCTGTATCTTTTGAACCCATAGAAAGAAATTAAAACATTTTTGGCACAAAGTTATAATGAGATGATGTGCTTACACAGGTTTTGGCTGTCTGAGATCAAAATTAGCCGCGCTGTTTGGATAACTAGAGTGATAAAGACTTATAGGAAAGCACATTTAAGTGTTATTGTGTGAAACTACAAAACTCAGAGCTTAGGTATTTGGCATGTAGCATAAATTTGTAGATTTCTACAAAAGTTATATTAATCATGACTGCCCGGGCAGTCACTTGCATCATGTAGATTAAGGTATAGGAAAACTTATCTTTTTGTGGATAAATACTATTCCTCTATATTTGGCATTAAGCGTTGCCTAGTAGACCTCTTTATAAAAAAAGATGATAATATCTTCTTCATGTTAATGTTTGATAACCAGCAAAATATATACATATTAGAAAGTGTTCTGTCATTGTACAAAATGTATGTTTGTAAAAGATGATCATATTTTGTCTGTAATTATAGGAACTGGTGTAGTGACCAGTGTACCTTCAGATGCCCCAGATGATTATGCTGCTCTAAGAGATCTTAAGAAAAAGGAGGTGGGCCAATGTTCTGTTAAATTTTCAATGTGTAGTTTATGAGGAATCATAATTTTACAATTTCTTTAATTATTTTAGTTACAATTTTAAAATTTCTTTAATTATCTGAATTACCATGTTTTGATAATACATTGTATTGCAATTAATACCCACCTTCCACTGAATACTGCTGAGTACTTGAGTATAAGTTTTGTTAATTTGATCAAGTACTCCGTTAACATAAGTTACCTGTTGTTGTCATCCAGAATCTAAATGTTATTTTATGGTTGTATTTATTTGTTAAATTAAAGTAAGTCTTTACTGAATAGAGCTATCTTTGATTGCCCCTTGTTTTAAGAGAAATGAAGTGATTGTTTAATTACATGTTAATTTATATTCAGCCATTTAGGAAGAAGTATGGACTGACAGATGAAATGGTTCTTCCTTTTGACCCAGTAAGTGTACTGTTTTGTTTTATATTTAAAAGAATGTAATTTCATTTGATTATTATTATATTGATAAATAATTTTGTTGTTGTAAAATGTTTTCTATTGATATTTTAAAATTCCGAAGGTAGTATTGCTGAGGGACTATTAGCATTCATTTTGTATAGAGGTTTTGCTTGTGTTATCATCTTGGAGAAGTAATTAATGGTTATGTTTTGAAACATTTTAAATTTTATAGGTATTATCCTGTATTTTATAGGTATTGTACTGTATTTATAGATATTGCACTGTACTTTATAGATATTGCACTGTACTTTATGAGTATTGTACTGTATTATATAGATATTATAATGTATTATATAGGTATTGTACTGTATTATATATTATAGGTATTTTATTGTATTATATAGGTATTGAACTGGGGCGTCTGTGGCCAAGTGGTTAAGGTCGTTGACTTCAAACCATTTGCCCCTCACAGCTTTGGGTTTGAATCCCGACAGGGACTTTGAATTCTTTCATGTGAGGAAGCTATCCAGCTAGCTTACGGAACGTCAGTGTTTCTACTCAGGTGCCCGTTCCTGCCTGAAATAATGCACGAAAGGGCACCTGAGGTCTTCCTCCACCAGCAAAGGTGGAACTTTGCGATATGACCTATACTGTGTTGATGTGATGTAAAACCCAAAACAAACAAACAAAGGTATTGTACTGTATTTATATTATATTTTATAGGTGTTATACTGTATTATATAGGTATTGTACTGTATATTATAGGTACCAATCATAGATGTACCAGAGTATGGAGATCTATGTGCTGTGACAGCCTGTGATCAACTGAAGATACAGAGTCAGAATGATAAAGATAAACTACAAGAAGCTAAGGAGAAGGTTTATCTGAAAGGATTTTATGAAGGGGTAAGTTTAATAAGACTGGTCTTATCTTATAGCATAGACCAAATAAAAGATTTGTCCATGTTCAGGAATAAAACATTGCATAAATGACACTATAAAATGATGTTTTAATGATAAAAGACTTATTCTTAATATAATCTGATATGTATAACAAAAAACATAAATGTTGATATTCCAAATAATATAAATGCAACTGTGAAAGAATGATACTGTAATCATAATTTACAGTACAATATATCAAAAAGCTTTCAGAATTCAAAATGTAACTGAAAACACTTAAAAAATAGAAATTACATGTAAATATAAACACATTTATAGTACATGAAAGTATTAGAAATAAACATGTACAAAAACGCAATATGTTCATGGTGCAGCGTCTAGATGTCTGTGAATTTTTCATTATCTCACCCATTATATAAGTTCAATTTTTCCCAACAATAATTTCTAATGTTACCACACTGAAAATAAATGACAATATCGGAACAGTATGCCATTTATTTGCATTAATAGTGCAGTGACTTGGTATAATGATACAATGGTATGTATTCAATTTGTACTCACTCAAATTATTTTAAGACTTGAAATGCCTTATATTTGCTCTCCTTTTTCGATCAACCAAGATGCTGAATTTATTTACAGGCTTATAATTAATATTATTAATTCAAAACTTGTAATATTTTAAAACATTTTTAAAAATAGATATGTCAGTGTGTACTACAATGTTAGTTTTAGTTTTGATGAGCCCATCTCCATTACATAAGAACTAATAAGTTATTTGTATGTTGTTGCCAGGTGATGAAAATTGGAGAGTTCAAAGGTCAAAAGGTTCAGGATGTGAAAAAAAAAGTACAGAAGATTATGTTGGATAAGGTATTTATCACTATTCATTTGCCTGACAAAGATTCTTTCAGTACACAGTACAATTTAATAAAATTATGACAGATTATCCATCAGTAGAAGATAAAGGTGAATATTTGTTTGTTTACAATTGCTTCATTTTTAGCTCACCTGAGCATATGCTCAGGGTGAGCTATTAGGATCACTCTTCGTCCGTCGTCTGTCGTCCGTCGTATGTCGTACATCGTCCGTTGTCCGTTCACACTTTTCAAACGACATCTCCTCTGAAACCATAAGGCAGATCATTATGAAACTTCACACGGATGTTCCTTGTGTGAAGCCTAAACAAAGTTGTTCAAAGAATTCCATTCCATGCAGAACTCCGGTTGCCATGGCAACCAAAAGAAAAAACTTTAAACATCTTCTTCTAAAATCCCAAAGAGCTAGAGCTTAGATATTTGGCATGAAACATCTTCTAATGAGTGTCTACCAAGATTGTTCAAATCAAAGCCCTGGGGTCAAAATTGGCCCCACCCCAGGGGGTCATTGATTTTCCCTATATGCATATAGGAAAAACTTTAAAAAATCTTCTACTAAAAAACCCAAAGAGCTAGAGCTTAGATATTTGGCATGAAACATGTTCTAATGGATGTCTACCAAGTTTGTTCAAATAAAAGCTCTTGGGACAAAATTGGCCCCGCCCCAGGGGGTATTGATTTTCCCGATATGCATATAGTAAAAACTTAAAAAATTTTCTCTTAAAGAACCCAAAGAGCTAGAGCTAAGATATTAAGCATGAAACATCTTGTAATCAGTGTCTACCAAGTTTATTCAAATAAAAGCCCTTGGGTCAAAATTGGCCCCGCCCCAGGGGGTCATTGATTTTCCCTATATGCATATAGTAAAAACTTTAAAAAAATTCTTTTAAAGAACCCAAAGAGCTAGAGCTAAGATATTTAGCATGAAACATCTTCTAATGGGTGTCTACCAAGTTTGTTCAAATAAAAGCCCTTGGGTCAAAATTGGCCCCGCCCCAGGGGGTCTTTGATTTTCCCTATATGCATATAGTAAAAACTTAAAAAAATCTTCTTTTAAAGAACCCAAAGAGCTAGAGCTAAGATATTTAGCATGAAACATCTTCTAATGGGTGTCTACCAAGTTTGTTCAAATAAAAGCCCTGGGGTCAAAATTGGCCCCGCCCCAGGGGGTCTTTGATTTTCCCTATATGCATATAGTAAAAACTTAAAAAAATCTTCTTTTAAAGAACCCAAAGAGCTAGAGCTAAGATATTTAGCATGAAACATCTTCTAATGAGTGTCTACCAAGTTTGTTCAAATAAAAGCCCTGGGGTCAAAATTGGCCCAGCCCCAGGGGTCATTGATTTTCCCTATATACATGTAGTAAAAACTTAAAAATCTTCTTTTAAAGAACCCAAAGAGCTAGAGCTAAGATATTTAGCATGACACTACTTCTAATGGGTGTCTACCAAATTTGTTCAAATAAAAGCCCTTGGGTCAAAATTGGCCCCGCCCCAGGGGTCATTGATTTTCCCTCTATACGAGGGATGTCCAAAAGATTCGTGCACTGCAGTTATTGTCGTGAGAGTTATTGATAAAAAAAATATGAATTATATATCATTAGAAGGGGAAATCTGTTTCAAATAAGAAAACAAAAGAAAAAACGGTGTAACTGGTGTATCGTGAAAACGAATCGTCATACAGTTACCTAAGTGACGTAATACCGGCGCACGACAAAAAAAAATGAGTTAGTTCAATACTGTGATTGTATTATATTTTTGATGCTTGTAAAGTGCCATTTGCTGTTTATGTCATAATTTGTTTTTTCTGTCAATAGAAGAATGACTAATGCAAAGTATTTTGTAGTTTTTATTGTTCTTGTGCAACCTTCATGTAACATATTCCACCAGTGCACGAATATATTGGACAGCCCTCGTCACTTGCGCCGCCATTACGGACGGACATTTGCCTGATCAGTTGTCATCGTCTTGCGACTCTCGCCCCTCAACAAAGCATATGTGCCATTTTAAAAACCAGCCTTCGTGACATTGAACTGGTCCGGATTGCTCTTTTAAGTTCTTTGTAGGTATCTGTCGGTGTTTTACCAAATTGAATATTTGTGCAAAATGTAATGATCGTCCGTATTTCCAGACGTTTAGCGACTGACATTTTCACGTAATGACTGTAATGACGATCACACTGTTACATTATGGCAAATGACGTCATATTTTCTAGCGATATCAGGAATACGTACACACACTTTTCCCTAAATTTTGACATTTATATGTAGTGTTTAAAGGATACAGTGATGCATCAAAGTAATGAACTAACCCAATTTTTTGTCGTGCGCCGGTATTACGTTACTAAGTTAACGGTATGACGATTCGTTTTCCTAACACGCCGGTTACACGTCTTTTTAGCTCACCTGTCACAAAGTGACAGGGTGAGCTTTTGTGATCGCTTTTCGTCCGGCGTCCGTCCGTCCGTCCGTCCGTCGTCCGTCCGTCCGTAAACTTTTGCTTTAAATGACATCTCCTCATAAACCACTGAGCCAATTTCATCCAAACTTCACAGGAATGTTCCTTTGGTGGTCACCTTTAAAAATTGTTCAAAGAATTTAATTCCATGCAGAACTCTGGTTGCCATGGCAACCGAAAGAAAAATCTTTAAATATCTTCTTTTAAACAACCCTAAGGGCTAGAGCTTAGATATTTGGCATGAAACATCTTCTAGTGAGTGTCTACCAAGTTTGTTAAAATAAAAGCCCTGGGGTCAAAATTGGCCCCGCCCCAGGGGGTCATTGATTTTCCCTATATGCATATAGTAAAAACTTAAAATATCTTCTTTTAAAGAACTGTAAGAGCTAGAGCTTAGATATTTGGCATAAAACATCTTCTAGTGAGTGTCTACAAAGTTTGTTCAAATAAAAGCCCTGGGGTCAAAATTGGCCCCGCCCCAGGGGGTCATTGATTTTCCCTATATGCATATAGTAAAAACTTAAAAAATCTTCTTTTAAAGAACCAAAAGAGCTAGAGCTAAGATATATAGCATGAAACATCTTCTAATGAGTGTCTACCAAGTTTGTTCAAATAAAAGCCCTGGGGTCAAAATTGGCCCCGCCCCAGGGGTCATTGATTTTCCCTATATGCATATAGTAAAAACTTAAAAATCTTCTGTTAAAGAACTCAAAGAGCTAGAGCTAAGATATTTAGCATGAAACATGTTCTAATGGGTGTCTACCAAGTATGTTCAAATAAAAGCCCTGGGGTCAAAACTGGCCCCGCCCGGGGGGGGGGGGGAATTGATTTTCCTTATAAGTGTATAGCAAAAACTTAAAAATCTTCTTTGAAAAAACCCAAATAGCTAGAGTTTAGATATTAAGCATGAAACATCTTTAAGTAAATATCTACAAAGTTTGTTCAAATAAAAGCCCTGGGGTCAAAACTGGCCCTGGCCCAGGGGTGTCATTGTTTTTTACTATATGTGTATAGTAAAAACTTTAAAAATCTTCTTTTAAAAAACCCAATGAGCTAGAACTTAGATGTTTAGCATGGAACATCTTCTTATGGGTGTCTACCAAGTCTGTTTAAATAAACAAATATAAACCCTTGGGTAAAAATTGGCCCGGGGGTGGGGGGGGGCTATATACAGGTGAGCGACCTCAGGGCCATCATGGCCCTCTTGTTCTTTTGTTTTCTTATTTGAGACAGATTTCCCCTTAAAGTGATATATAATGCATGTTTTTTTATCAATAACTCTCACAACAATAACTGCAGTGCACGAATTTTTTGGACAACCCTTGTACATAGAGTAAAAACTTAAAAATCTTCTATTAAAGAACCCTAAGAGCTAGAGCTAAGATATTTAGCATGAAACATGTTCTAATGGGTGTCTACCAAGTTTGTTCAAATAAAAGCCCTTGGGTTAAAATTGGCCCTGCCAGGGGGAGGGGGGAGGGGGGCAAAAGTCATTGTTTTTCATTATTTGTGTGTAGTAAAAACTTAACATCATGAAACATCTTCTAATGGGTGTCTTCCAAGTTTGTTCAAATAAAGCCCTTTGGTTTAAACTGGCCCCACCCTGGGGCCTATGTACAGGTGAGCGACCCCAGGGCCATCATGGCCCTCTTGTTTAAGAGAAATCAAGCAAACTTTCACAGAACTTTTTTTTTTGCCTGGGCTTTGCACTAATTTATTACAGAAAACCTGATTTGTGCAATGTCTGAGTTTCAGTTATGCAATAATATATATTTCAGAATGAGGCAGTAAAATACATGGAACCAGAAAAACAAGTGATATCACGATCAGGGGATGAGTGTGTTGTAGCTCTTTGTGACCAATGGTTAGTGTCAGTCTATGTCTTCATAAATATTTACCTTTCATTTTATCTTCTCTAATGAGAGGTAATAGAAATAATAAATCTAATCATATGCAGTACAGTATCTTTATTGATTGATTCATAGGCCACCAGCCCAAAACAAAACATATTTTACAAATAATGAGTTTACATATGTAGAGAGCTGTGTAAAATGGTTATATTAATGGTGGAAAATTGTAATTAAATGTTCATTGTTCATATATCATGCAAAATTCGCCAGAATTCAGTATAGAAAATATGAAATTTATAATGCACTGTGGAATCCTTGATGTGATCCTTTGATCACACAAAAGACTAAAAACCCTTGGATTAATGAAATTAGTGAAATATTTGAAATAGTTCTTGTGTCATCAGTGGTTTACCTTCACAAGTATGAGAGTTCAGTATAAATGAATTTGTGCATGTTAGTGTCACGCAATAACCGCCCCACTTTTTCACTGAGCTCATTAATGCATAGTTTTGAAACTTAAAATACTTCTTCATAACATGTACATGATCTGTCATGGATTTTCACTCGATTATGGCTCTTATATGATTATGCCACCTTTCTATTAAAAAATTTACATATACCTATATTCTATTCTATTATCATGTATCAAGAATACTTTTTGACAAAATAAATATTATACTATAATTATAATTAATATTAACAGGTACTTGAATTATGGTGAAGCAGAGTGGAAGGCAACTGCTAAGAAAGCTCTACAGAATATAGAGACATACTCTGATGATGTGAAGAAGAATTTTGAAGCCACTCTGGATTGGTTACATGAACATGCTTGCTCCAGATCTTATGGTCTAGGTAAAACATTGTAATGAAATTAGAGGAGTCATCATTGCCTTCTGCAGATAGATTTATAAATCATTATATTTCAATTTCCCTTCAGTTTATTTGAATTTATTTGGGAAAATAAAATATGAAATTTAAGTTTATACTGATTGTTTTTTTCACTAATTATTGACTAATAATATTTAAAAAAAAATTTAATGGTTTTATTTTCAAATGTTTTAAAGATGAATTTTCAAAATGGATTTGGTAACAAAAATGTAAGGAGTATTGATTGAAGTTTACAAATAAATAATACTTAATTTTCTATGGATAGGTAAGCAACTGAAAATAGTAATTATACATGTTGTATCTAATGTTTTGTTTAAATGAACCTCATAATATTTTAACATATTGTCAGTAGTGTTATATTTTACAAAACTGTTCTTTTATTAAATTGGTTATATGCCGAGGCATAATATTGAGAAAAAACATGTTGTTTGAACTTATTGAGCTGATAGTAAATAGATGCATATTTAAATGATGATTTTACTGCATGTTGATATTGTTCATTTTTGTTTGACATTTTATTTATATACACAGCCTCTGCAAATTTATGGAATAATATTTATTTTAATCAGAGAAAGTAATTATTTATTATTATAAAATAATTATAAAGACTTTTTATGTTCATTTGTTAACTGACAGTTGTTTGTTAGATAAGTGTTCACTAGTTGCTCTGGTTATATTTGATTACCTTTAATACTGGTCCATATAACACATAAATTTCTTAACATGTAATAAAATATGCTGGTTTGTTTATAAGTAATAAAATATGTATGTTTTAATATTTCAGGTACTAAGATACCTTGGGATGAGAAATATCTGGTAGAGTCTTTGTCTGATTCAACCATCTATAATGCCTACTATTCTGTAGCTCATCTACTACAAGGTGGACAATTTGATGGTCATAAAGTAGGACCTGCTAACATCAGGTTGGTGCTCATTACTTGTCAAACTGTCATGTCCAGCAGTAACAGGGTAAAAGGATTTTGAAGGAAACTTATATCAAGTTTCTTGCATGACTTTTTACTTCTAAGGATATAACATTGAGCCATAACTCACCTTGACCTTGAATATCAGATTTTTGTGCCCCCTCTGTAGGGGGGGGGGAGGGGGGCATTTAGATTTACCCTTGTATCTGTCCGTCTGTTCTCTTTATGTGTGGCATGTAGCTCAAAAAGTGTTTGACCTAGAGTCATGAAACCTTACAGGAATGTTGATCAGAATGTGAAGTTGTGCAATTGGGTATTTTCATGTGGATATATTTAGTATTTTTAGAGTTATTGCCCTTGACTTAGTAAAAATTTGCAATTTTCAACTTGTGTCACAAATAATTCAAAAAATATTTGACCTACAAGAAACCTTACTGGAATGTTGATCAGCATGTGTAGTTGTGCACCTGGGTATTTTTGTGTGGGTATTTTTAGAGTAATTGCCCTTGACTTAGTAAACATTTGCAATTTTCAACTTTTGTTGCACGTAACTCAAAAAATATTTGACCTAAAGTTATGAAACCTTACAGGAATGTTGATCAGCATGTGTAGTTGTGCACTTGGGTATTTTTGTGTGGATATATTTAGTATTTTTAGAGTAATTGCCCTTGAATTAGTAAAAATTTCCAATTTTCAACTTGTGTCGCACGTAACTAAAAAAGTATTTGACTTAGAGTCATGAAATGTTACAAGAATGTTGCTCAGCATTTGTAGTTGTGCACGTGGGTATTTTTGTGTGGTTATTTTTAGTATTTTTAGAGTAATTGCTCTTGACTTAGTAATAATTGGAAATTTTCAAGATGTGTTGCACGTAACTCAAAAAATATTTGACCTAGAGTCATGAAACCTTACAGGAATGTTGATCGTCATGTGTAGTTGTGCACCTGGGTATTTTTGTGTGGATATATTAAGTATTTTTAGAGTTATTGCCCTTGAATTAGTAAAAAATTTCCAATTTTCAACTTGTGTCGCACATAACTAAAAAAGTATTTGACTTAGAGTCATGAAACCTTACAGGAATGTTGCTCAGCATGTGTAGTTGTGCACCTGGGTATTTTTGTGCGGATATTTTTAGAGTTATTGCCCTTGACTTAGTAAAAATTTAAAATATTCAACTTGTGTTGCACATAACTAAAAAAGTAATTGACCTGTAGGCCTGAAAGTTTACAAGAATGTTGGTCAGCATTTGTACTTATGCACCTTGGGGTTTTCTTGTGGATTTATTCAGTATTTGTAGTATTTACCCTTTACTTAATAAAAGATTTTTAGTTTTCAACTTGGGCACATGTAGCCCAAAAAAATATTTGACCTAGAGACATAAAATTGACAAATTGGTGGAGTATGGGGTCACCCGTGTCCTATGGACACATTTCTTGTCTGAATTTGGGTCATTTTGTTGTATCAACAGTCTTTAGATTGGTGCATTTGTGTTTTAGTTGTATTTAATGTTCATCAAAGTACAACATGCTGAAGGTGAGCTATTGTGGTCATACACTGTCTGCAGTCTTTCTGCCCTCTATCCACAGTTCTGTTTAAACTTCATTTCCCCTTCTATCACTAGGTTAATATTATTAAGACATCATAACAATGTTCCTTTAGTGACCCTTTTTCAAAATTTTTATAAAAGTTCTATATTGAAAGAAAGCACTTGAGATGTACACTTAAGGTTTAATGTTATATTACTTTCAATATTATGTACTATATTATAGACCAGAACAGATGAAAAACGAAGTATGGGATTATATATTCTACAAGAAGGCCCCATTTCCCAAGACTGACATCCCGAAAGCAACTCTTGATAAGATGAAAGCTGAGTTTGAGTACTGGTACCCAGTAGATCTACGTGTGTCAGGAAAAGATTTGATCCCTAATCATCTAACATACTATATCTACAACCATATTGCCATGTGGCCTGATCAACCAGAGAAATGGCCAAAGTCTATCAGAGCTAATGGACATCTATTGTTGAACTCTGAGAAAATGTCAAAGAATACAGGAAACTTCCTAACACTGTATGATGCTGTTGATAAGTTTTCTGCTGATGGTATGTGACAGTTATGTTTCTAAGTTCAAAAAAAAAAATTATTTACTCTAACATTATGCTAAGTTAAACATAAATGAGGTTATTTATTGTCATCTATAACAAAGATTTTACTATGAATATTTGGACTGATAAGCACTATAAATGAATAAATGACAGTAAGACAAACACTGAGCCAATGTAAACTAATTTTGGCTAGTTTATTTAAAGAATAGAGTTTTGGTGTCAGCATTTAAATTAACGTGACACTTGGTTACTGATTATACACCTGTGTGAATGTGAATAATTTCTGATTAAGGGTTTTGTATGCAAGTTGTATCTTCACATCCACATAAAACTTCACAGATGCCGTCAGGGTTAAGATTGCTCTTCACTGATAATGACTGGTAACATGGATTTGTCCTAGATTATTCCCATTTGTGAACTTTGTAGTAAATTTCAGGGGCAATATCAGTCTTTATAACAACCGATTGAATTTACATAAATCTTTGCGTATCTCAAAAGGATCATAATTGTAGGTGACTGTCAAAAACCAATAACTCTAGTATTGTTTTGATAGAATTATAGCTTGTTATGATATTTTACATGTTTTATCACATTAAAAAAGGCATTAGACCTAGTAGTTATTTAAAATGCTATGTTTTATCAGTGTTTATTTGACTGACAGGTAGGATTAATTATTGATATATTTCAGGGATGCGCCTGGCGTTGGCTGACGCTGGTGATGGTATTGAGGACGCTAACTTTGTAGAGGTAATGGCAGAGGCCGGGCTTCTCCGCTTGTACACGTTGCTAGAGTGGGTGCGTGAAATGATCACCATACGAAGTTCTCTAAGAACAGGGGCATTTACATTCAATGACAGGGTGTTTGAGAGTGAGATAAACTTGAGTATAGAAGTGACACAGAAACACTATGATGAGATGAAGTATAAGGAGGCCCTGAGAACAGGCTTCTTTGAATTCCAGGTAAATTATATTCCATTATATTTATATTGTTATATAATGTATGAATAAGATGAGGTTTTATGAACTTGAGCTTTTAATGTAGTCATAACAATGAACATGTTTCATTGTAATTTAATCAATCAATAATTTATAAAAAAAAATTGTTAATTTATTGTAATTTTTGGCCAGGTTGCACTAGTGCAAATCCGGGTAATAGTATGGTGAATGTCTGGCAGGCGGGCGGGGAAAATATTTTCGTAACAGTTTTCTCAGCAACTACTTATCACAGCCTCTTGATATTTGGTATACAGCATAGACACATGGTCCCATACCGTGGGATTTGATTTCAGGTCTGTCGCTCATCCACTTCCTGTTTATCCAACTTAGTTAAATTAGTTAAATTTTTCTACATTAATGGTCAATGGTAGGAAATTTTCGTAACAGTTTTCTCAGCAACTACTTATCACAGCCTCTTGATATTTGGCATACAGCATAGACACATGGTCCCATACTGTGGGATTTGATTTCAGGTCTGTCGCTCATCCACTTCCTGTTTATCCACTTACTTAAATTAGTTAAATTTTTGGACATTAATGGTCAATGGTAGGAAATTTTCGTAACAGTTTTCTCAGCAACTACTTATCACAGCCTCTTGATATTTGGCATACAGCATTGACACATGGTCCCATACAGTGGGATTAGATTTCAGGTCTGTCGCTCATCCCATTCCTGTTTATCCACTTAGTTAAATTAGTTTAATTTTTCGACATAAATGGTCAATGGTAGGAAATTTTCGTAACAGTTTTCTCAGCAACTACTTATTACAGCCTCTTGATATTTGGCATACAGCATTGACACATGGTCCCATACTGTGGGATTTGTTTTCAGGTCTGTTGCTCATCCACTTCTTGTTTATCCACTTAGTTAAATTAGTTCATCCACTTCCTGTTTATCCACTTAGTTAAACTAGTTAAATTTTTCTACATTAATGGTCAATAGTAGGAAATTTTCGTAACAGTTGTCTCAGCAACTACTTATCACAGCCTCTTGATATTTGGCATACAGCATTGACACATGGTCCCATACCGTGGGATTTGATTTCAGGTCTGTCGCTCATCCACTTCCTGTTTATCCACTTACTTAAATTAGTTAAATTTTTGGACATTAATGGTCAATGGTAGGAAATTTTCGTAACAGTTTTCTCAGCAACTACTTATCACAGCCTCTTGATATTTGGCATACAGCATTGACACATGGTCCCATACTGTGGGATTCGATTTTAGGTGTGTAGCTCATCCATTTCCTGTTTACCCAGTTAATTAAATTTTCGACATTAATGGGTCAATGGTAAATTTTTTTTGTAACATCACAGCCTCATGATATTTGGTGTACAAATCGTCACCTTAGTGCAAGAACTCAATATCTGCTTCTTTATCTATATGCATTTATTGAGTTTTTGCACTAAGGTGACGAAATACAACCCGGCCTTTTCTGTCTTTGACCCTTTTTTATTTAAAGAAATCAAATATTGTGAAAAAGTTAATGAAATAAAGTAGCATTTTTTGGCCTCATACGAAACTTTAAATTAGACTAATCATAAACATATAAATTCTGGATAAAATCCTGTAATGACCTTCAAATTCTTTAGTTTGAGGAAGCTATCCAGCTTATGTATGTAAGGTTGTTGGTTTTACTAATGTTGTATCTGAAATATGCATAGAGGAACCTGAGGATCACTTCAATGATAAAGCTGGGTTTTTTTTTCTTTATTACCTATAATGTGTCTTGTGAGTTCAAACCTAATTCATATATATATATATATTAATATAATACTAATAGTTATGTATTTGTAGGCAATAAGGGACAAGTATCGTGAGGTAGAGATAGAGGGTATGCATGCAGATCTTGTCTTCAGATATATTGAAATACAGACACTGATGCTGTCACCTATATGTCCTCATATATGTGAACATATTTGGGGTCTACTAGGAAAGGTAAATGTTTATAAATCTGTGTAAATAAGACAACTTGGTATATATTGCATTTGCTTCTACATCATTAAAAACATGTATATTTGTCTTATTTGATCCTTACTCCAGTTATAAATAAATTGTTTATTCTAAATTGGATAAGGGGGGGGTGAGCTGTTAGTATCAAAGGGGCATGCTCCGGCATCATATGTCAACATTCATCTTTTCTCTGAAACTGCTGGGCAGATTTACTTCAAATTTGGTTGGTAGCATCCTTGTGACAGTCACTAAAATGTGCTCATATCATTTCAATTGGCCATTTTTAGGGGTCAGCAGACCTAAAAATAGAAAAACTTCTACTGAAGTAATAGATGGATGATCATTAAACTTTGTCTGTAGCATTCTTATGTAGTCTTTTATCAAATTTCCTCATATCAATTTGATTATCCCCTTTTTGGAGCCTCCAGAGCTAAAAATAGAAAAACCTTTAAACATCTTCTACTGAACTAATTGATCGCTTCTTTTACTGAACTAATTAAACGATGATCACAAACTTTGTCTGTAGCATTCTTAGGTAGTCTTTTATCAAATTTGCTCATATTTATTTGATTGGCCCTTTTTAGGAGTCTCTAGAGCTAAAAATAGAAAAAAAATAAACATCTTCTACTGAACTAATTGATGGATGATCACCAAACTTAGACTGTTGCATTCTACAGTAGTCTTTTATTACATTTGCTCATATTAAATTGATTGGCCCCTTTTAGCTAAGGCTCTAGGGCAAACTCATGTGAAAAATTATTTCTAACACTAAAAAACAGTTATTTCTGGTGAGCCATTCAGGGCCATCATGGCCCTCTTGTTTTTATTTTATGTAATAGATAATTATTGCTCTGTAACTTAATATTACTGAAACTAAAGTTAACGGAGAAAAATAATAATAATAAAATTTTGGTAGAATGATAAATATGTATATGATGTATCTGTAGTTATTTAGTATGAATTTTGATGCTTGTTGTGTTTGATCATGGCTGTTTACAGATGAAATGTCTGCTGCTTGTTATCTGTTGTTTATTTGTTTATTATATAAAGGTAAATTCCATAGCAGAAATAAAAGTAAATTCTGGTAAATGAATCAGTTAGTTGATGGACTATGATTTCTGATACAGATTATCATTTAACTCAAACACACATGAGATTGTCATATATTAAGACAAAGATATATAATGAAGATGTTGTTATAACTATATTACAGACATCAAGTATAATGCATGCAAGTTGGCCTGTGGTAGGACCATATGACAAGGTACTGATACAGTCATCCCAGTACCTGATGGACGCAGCACATGACTTCAGAAAGAGGTTGAAGGCTTACACAGCTGTAGGGAAGGGAAAGGTAAAATAATTTCTTACAGATGAAGGTATCTTCTACAGTAAAACTTATAACCTTTCTAAACTCTGATAGTTCAAGACTAGTTAATGAATTAAACTGGAATAGTTTGTTCAGTTATAGACAGTGTCAAAGGAAGACAGTATTGATGATATATGTTCATGGTTCATATTGAGAGGTTAATGTTGATTTCTGGTCATCAAAGTGATAAAACATACAGCTCTTTCTTGATATTTAACATTGTTTGTATTTGAGTTGGTAATTACTAAGTTTTGAAGGAAAAGTTGTGTTCTATTTAACCTCATTTAAACTTCTGTAAAATACAAGGTTTATTAGAGTGGATTGGTCTACAATGGGCACAGTTTCTATTAATATATCAAATATTGATAAAAAACTATAAAAATGTATCATTTGGGTTTTCTTTTAAAATATTACTTGAAAAAATATGTTGATCAAGTTCTACTGATTTAGCATTAATATTGAAATGTGATGAATAAGATAATTCTGTTCTAGAAAAATTATTTTCAGCTATATCAATGTATGTAATATTGGATCATGTATCTAGCACTCGCATGCATCGTTCAATTTCATTGTTTATTGGTATATTTAGTGCCTATGTTCTGGTACCATCACACTTTTAAATTTTATATTTACAGAAAGTGGTACCACCACCAACAAATGCCACTGTTTATATAGCAAAGACTTATCCCCCTTGGCAAAATACAATTCTAACTACTGTGAGATCTCTGTATGAGGTGAGTATAATTATATGTTATATAGTAACTTAGGATAATTAGTTACAGTAGAATATATACACATGTACAATGCTATAAACAGTATGTTAGATAGTATTACTTATTATTAAAATAAACTATTTAGAATACATGATTAAAGTAATATTAAGTTTGTTCGTCTACCCTTGAAGCAATAGTCAAAAACTATAATACATGTAAGATAAATTGAGTTGAAAACTAAGTAATGATTTATAACTAATGGACAAGTGAGTTCTGGTTGCTAGGTAAGTTTGGCCAATAATTATCTGCATGTATACAATACTCTCAATTAACAATAAATGTTTCTTTGTAATTATCATTTTTTCATTCTCATGACTTGTCATGCAATTTTCAAAACAACCTGTGGCTTTCTGAAGGGGAAAATATAGAGCAATAAATCAGAAAAGGGGAAATCAAATACCAACAAATGAGAATGGAATTTACCCAACATTTTATAAAATTTTCAATTTAACATGCATGGTACATAGCAGAGGCTAACTATAGGAACAGTTTTATCTTCTAGCTGATATGAGATATTAGTCAGATGCTGTTAAGTCATGGTTCTGGTGAAGAATGTGCACAGGGCTTGCATATTTGGAGAAAACATTTTAGGGGAAAATATACCTATTTTGGGCTAGGGGAAATAGCCTTTATTCAGCTGTAAAATACATGAAAAAAAATACTGTTATTAAGTGAATTTGGGACGTCCATGGCCGAGTGTTTAAGGTCGTTGACTTCAAACAACTAGCCTGTCACCACTCTGAGTTTGATTCTTGACAGGGACTTTGGATTCTCTAATGTAAGGAAGCTATCCAGCTAGCTTACAGAACGTTGGTGGTTCTACTCGGGTGCTTGTTCATCCTGAAATAATGCACAGAGGTACACTGTAGATCTTCCTCCACCAGTAAAGCTGGAAATTCACCATATGACCTATACAGTGTTGTTGCCAGGTAAAACCTAAACGAATTTGTATGGAGGACAGTTGGTCACACTTGTTTCTCAGTATATATCTAGTTTGATTGGGTTTTACATCACACCAACACAGTATAGGTCATATGGCGACGTTCCAGCTTTACCGGTGGAGGAAAACCTCGGGTGCCATTTAGTGCATTATTTCAGGCACAAACCGGCACCTGAGTAAGACATGAAAAAATCAAAAGTCCCTGTCGGGGATTTGAACCAACAGCGGTGAGGGGGTATATATCTAGTTTAAGGTAGTAAAACATGTTTGGATTACTTTTCAAAAATATGGAGTTGCCTCTGTTGTATGTTTGTTGTAAAATTAATTCTAAATGTAATCACATAGCTATAGCATTTAGTTTCTTGTTTTATAAAATAATGTAAAATAGCATAAACTACAAAGTCAGTACATCTCACAAAATGTTAGACAAGCAAATATACATGTACAACTTTTTGGAAGATAAGAATTGTTTCATAGCTTTTAAGGCAATGGAATAAAAGTATGGATTAACGTCATATAAAGCACTTGTTGATAAAGGTAATAATATAAAGTATAGAACAAAAAATATTCTCAGAAAGATTCATCGTTTATTCTATGGTAGTTCTCTCCCTTCCTTTATTTAAGCAATATAAAGTGTTATTCTAATACAGGAATCATCTTTCAAGATGAATTAACATTTTCATATTAAATTGGAAAAGTTAATTTAAGAAGTTATTTAATTCCAACAAGTTAAATATTTAAAGTCCAATAAAATTGTCCATTGTTAAATAATGAAAGATACATTTTATAGCACTTTCCCTGAAGTGTCATCTTTTTATAGGATGACAGGTCAAAATAATACTTATACTCAGCATACATAATACACAGGTCAAAGGTGAAGCTCAACACTGACTTCAACATGTTAAATAGTTTCATATATATGAGAAAACTTTGTCTTTATATTACCATGATGCATCCTGCACGTAGTCGGGAAATAACCCCTATTGTTTAAAGATAAAAATACACAGTTTAGATTGGTTCCCATTAAATAACTAGCAAAAACATGTTTGCACATGTGCTACACTTAGTGATTGAATTTCAATGTAATTAACCTTTAGACAGTGTTTATGAAACAATAATACATTCAAAACTTTAGATTATTTTCCTTTTACCATGTACATAATTATTATTGATTATGTTTTAGATGAAAACTAACTTTGGTTAAATTGTTTTAATCTCTTTTTCTCTTACTGTATTTCCTTTAATTTTTAATGATATTACTTTATTCCTGAAATAAAGGAGTTATTGATTTCTGGCAGACGATCACCTCCATGTGTATATACATTTATATAATGACAGGAAGTGATATAATTAGTATATTTATGATCCCTTGAAAGAGAAAACCTCAAAATAAGTGATGTTATATTCAAAACTACCAATTCCCTGAATCATGTGGTATTAATAATTAGTAGTTATGATTGCAGGTTGTATTAATATCAAGTTAAACCTTGTTTTGTAAAGAAGTAAAATATTCTAAATGTGTGTGTAGGAGTCTTAATAAGTTGAATTCAGAGAACTGTTTATTTAAGTGATAAAACATGTTCTGGGGTTGTCGGTTTTTGTTTTTTGGGAGACTCTGTCATTTCCAGTCATATTACAATTTTTGACTATTAAGAAAGTTGTTATTGTAGATAAAATATAGCTCTGAAACCATTATAAATATTTATAGATATAAACTTAAAGCATATTTAATGTTCATGAAAGATCATAATGCCACTCTGTGTATGAAGTTCAATATCTCTGATTTGCCTGATTGCGAAGTGCACTGCCCATAACCCATATAGCATAATTCTGAGTTTATGTCCTTACCATAATTAAATAATATGATTGAAAAAGAAAATCTCATATATAAACTGTATAATTTATTAAGATATAGCCCTGTGTTAATGGCTAAATCTGTTAAAATCCAGGCACAATATCTAATAAAATAATTGAATGCATGCAATGTAAAACTCATTTAAAGATATGTTCAAGTAAAAGGAAAAGAAAGGTATTACAAGAGCAGACTGCTTACTGAGAGCAGATAAAACGATAAATAAATAGTTGAAAATTGTCGACTTTGTTCATTTAGAGATAATTGCAGACTTGTTTTATTTAGAGATAATGGCCAGTACAACACCCTAGCTCAAGCAGAAGAAATATTTAATCCTCACCACTAGTTGTATAAAAATCAAGTTCACAAAATGATGACAAAATAGTTGATTTGACTTTGTTTTTCATGTATTTCAGGAGAATAAAGGATTTCCAGATAACAAACAAATTGCCACTGCATTAGCAAAGAAACCAGAGCTCAAAAAATACATGAAGAAATCTATGCCATTTGTAATGGTTGCCAAGGTAATAAAAACAATATTTTTAGACAGAATGATAAATGATATGACTAGTATTGTTGGTGACAGTGTTAAAATGTTTTGTATACTTACATAAAAGGTAAATAGAATATGGAAAAATCAATGTCAGATGCTAGGTTTTTCTCACTGAGATATGATATAAGTTATTGTGTAAAAATATATCATATCAGATTAAGTGAACTGACATAAACAGAGGTCAATAAATTACATGTACTATAAACCAAAACATCCTCAAAAAAAGGTTATAAAGCCATGTTTGATTGGTTGTTCATACATACAGTAATATGTTTGATAATGTGGTTTATTTGCTTGTATGTTTCAAAGAAAAAGTTGAGTGCATCATCTTCATGCAAAAAAAAAGTTTTTCTTACATTATTGGTAAGAATTATTACAAATATAGTCATATGTTGTAATGATCTAATTTTAATTTGTAATATTTTAGAAAGTTTCTCTGTAATTATTATTCAGATATTGAAACTGGGCTATTGAGCTCACCCAAGGGAGACATTTTTATGCCTACGCCATAAAATGGAGAAATAGAAATTCTTTGTAAATAATTAAACTGCTGGATTCAGATTTCTTTTCCAATATTTCAATGTTTGACAGTATGTTCGAATTATGTAAAGGGCCTACAGCATATTTGTCAACATGTTGGAGGAAGTATCCACTTACATATATATGAAGTACAGACACTTAGAAATGGAAAGAATGTTTCTCCTTCAATGTTAAATGCTTAATGTGAAAAGCACTAGATATTATATAGTATACATTTAGCTCTAGACATCAAGTGGTGAATATTCTAAATCTTGAAGTGTCCACTTGTTGTACATAGACATAATACCATCATTTTATTATGTATATATGTGTATAATGTTGATGTTGGTAAAGTGCTATGTTGATATAATAACATTATATATGCTTTGTCTCTTGCCCTATTTTCCCCTCTTGTCCTATTTTCCCTCTCAAGACACATTATTCCCCCTCTGTAAAAGGGTACTTTTATGTGAATAAAAGAAAGTGTTGTATATTTATTCTGTAAGATAATGTTAATATAATGATCGTATTTACTATTTCAGGAGAACTTTGAGAAGCATGGTATAGCTGCCTTGAACTTGACCTCTGAATTTGATGAGCAAATGGTCATGAACACAAGTTTAAATTATCTGACAAACACTCTAGAGGTATTCATAATCACCTTTTTATGAACAATAAGTGACAATTTTTCACAGAATGTACAGATATATACATGTATTATTAACTGATCCCATCATTGCAAGTCTTAGGACTTGTTCTACCTTCTTTTTTAGCTCGACTTTTCTATGAAAAGGGGAGCTATCCTACTCGCCCCGGCGTCGGCGTTGGCGTCACACCTTGGTTAAGTTTTTCGTACCACCCCACTTTATTTCAGAAGTATTACAAGTATGGCTTTGAAACTTACCATACTTGTTCACCATCATAACCTCCATCTACAGACAAGAGTACATAACTCTGTCAAGGTTTTTGACAGAATTATGGCCCTTTTTTGACTTAGAAAGTGTATTGAGCTTGGTTAAGTTTTTTGTACCACCTCACTTTATTTCAAAACCATTGGAGGTATTGCTTTGAAACTGACCATACTTGTTTACCATCACGACCTTCATCAACAGACAAGAGGACATAACTCTGTCAAGGTTTTTGACAGAATTATGCCCCTTTTTGACTTAGAAAATACATTGAATATGGGTAAAATCCACTTATTGCCTTAACCCTTTGAGATATTGCTTTGAAACTTTTAATGCTATTTCACATCATTACCCCCATCTGTACGCAAGAGAAGGTAACTCTGTCAAGGATTTGTTTTAAAAATTAAGGCCTTTTATCGACTTAGAATCTTGGTTAAGTTTTTAGTACCAGTCCACTTTTTGACTGAACTGTTTGAGATATTAATTTGAAAGTTGGAATACTTGTTTACAATCCCTTATTCTCTCAAAGTGGGTTTAATACTATTAAATTTATTTAAGGCTCAATTCAGTTTTTTATGCCCCCGCCATGTAATGGCCGGGGCATATAGTGTTACCCTGTTCCGTCATTCCGTCCTTCCGTCCTTCCGTCCTTCCATCCTTCCGTCCTTCCGTCCTTCCGTCATTCTGTCATTCCGTCATCATCAGTTTCCGTTCATTATCTTAAGAACGGTTGGACACATTCAACTCAAATTTGACATATGGATATGTCATGAGAAAATACAGGTCAAGTTCGAATTTGGTCATGGTTCGATGATTTTTGGGAGAGTTATGCCCCTTTTACTTTGAAAATAATATGAAATTTCAGTTTCCGTTCATTATCTTAAGAACGGTTGGACACATTCAACTCAAACTTGACATATGGATATGTTATGAGAAAATACAGGTCAAGTTCGAATTTGGTTATGGTTCGATGATTTTTGGCAGAGTTATGCCCCTTTTACTTTGAAAATAATATGAAATTTTCAGTTTCCGTTCATTATCTCCCCAACGGTACAACACATTCAACTCAAACTTGACATATGGATATGTCATGAGAAAATACAGGTCAAGTTCGAATTTGGTCATGGTTCCATGATTTTTGGCAGAGTTATGCCCCTTTTACTTTGAAAATAATATGAAATTTTCAGTTTCCGTTCATTATCTCCCCAACGGTACAACACATTCAACTCAAACTTGACATATGGATATGTCATGAGAAAATACAGGTCAAGTTCGAATTTGGTCATGGTTCGATGATTTTTGGCAGAGTTATGCCCCTTTCACTTTGAAAATAATATTAAATTTTCAGTTTCCGTTCATTATCTCCCTCAAGGTACAACACATTCAACTCAAACGTGACATATTGATGCGTCAAAGGAATGCGCAGGTCAAGTTCAAATTTGGTTGTGGTTCGATGATTTTTGGCAGAGTTATGCCCCTTTTACTTTGAAAATAATATGAAATTTTCAGTTTCCGTTCATTATCTCCCTCAAGGTACAACACATTCAACTCAAACGTGACATATGGATGCGTCAATGGAATGCACAGGTCAAGTTCAAATTTGGTCATGGTTCAATGATTTTTGGCAGAGTTATGCCCCTTTCACTTTGAAAGTAATATGAAATTTTCAGTTTCCGTTTATTATCTCCCCAATGGTACAACACATTCAACTCAAATTTGACATATGGATATGTTTTTGGAATGCCCAGGTCAAGTTCAAATTTGGTCATGGTTCAATGATTTTTGGCAGAGTTATGCCCCTTTCACTTTGAAAATAATATGAAATTTACAGTTTCTGTTCATTATCTACCTAACAGTGTTACATATTCAATTTTAATTTGACATATGGATATGTCAAAGGAATGGGCAGGTCAAGTTGGAATTTGGTCATGGTTTGATGGATTTTTGGCAGAGTTATGTCCCTTTCACTTTGAAAATAATATAGATACATCTTAGGAATAAGCAGTTTAAGTTTGAATTTGGTCGTGGTTCAATGATTTTAGACAAACTTATCTTTCCTGAATGTTGGAAAAATTTTGAACTTTCAGTTTCAGCACTCATTCTTTTAGCCATTATTTTGGCTACAAATATGCAATATGCTTTTTCTAAAGGTTAAGACTGAATAATGTCAGTGCCTTGAACGTTGTATGGAAATGGTTTGTGTTAACATTGAAAAGTTTTAAGGGCTTTGAACTTAAAATGAAAAAAAAAAATTAATGCACCATCTGAAATTTTGGCTGCATGCGGGGGCATCCGTGGCATGATGACACATTTCTAGTTTTTTCTTTCTTACCAGCCCTCTTTTGACTTAAACATTTCAAACTTTGCTGCAGTGTTCAAGGGTATCACACAATTCAGTAAAATAATTCTTCACTAAATATCTTAATGCTCATGGCCATTGTTCACTTTAAAAATACAGAGATTCTTGTATTGCCTTTTACTGCAAAAACTTTTTTTATTGGCAAGCAATAAAAAAGTCGAGCGCGCTGTCTTACGGACAGCTCTTGTTATTTGCTGGAAGAACATCATATACCAGTTGTCTTATGTGACTGTTACATTGATATTTTGAAACCATCATAGGCTAACTAACCAGGAAAGATACCAGGGACACTGACTTATCATTACCAAATTCTGTTGTTGTTGTTTTAGATGGAAGGGATAGATATACAGTTCTCTGAGGAAGCTGATGGAGACAAGGTGAAGGACGATTGTTGCCCAGGGAAACCATTCATTACATTTAGAACTGAGGTATGATCATATTTTACTCTTGAGGAAATCTTATTCATTTTTTGAAGGTTCACCTTAACACATGTCTGAACTTAGTTTTGTTTTTTCAGTCTTATAGTACAGTACATATCTTGCTTTAACATTGGAACTGCCCAGTGTGAAGTAAAGGGATTTCAATATCAAAGTGCTAAGTTTATAAAATCAACAGTAAAAAGCTTTGTCTCTGACATAGCCCTATATTGAGCATAAGTAAAATTATTGATGCTGCTTTCTGGTATCATTGACAATGTATTACATTAAGATTGTGTTGTATTGTTTTTTTACATTTGTTGATTTTGGGGGGAAAATATGTTTGACTTCTACTGCAAAATGTAAAAGGACTAACAGTCAACATTCCACTTTGCAATTGAACTATTACTGGTATTTTAGTGTTACCTTCCTTGAGCAATCAGTCATCAATAAAAAATAAATGACTTAACAATTTCCTAAGTTTTTACTGACAGATTTTGATTTTTCAGTTATGACAACAAGGTAAAAGAATTGATAATGAACCTAAGTAGCATAGCATTTCTATTTCAGCCTTCAGTTACAGTAAGGTTTGTCAATCCCCAGCCAAGCAGTGGATTGTTTGAAGTGAAGCTGCCTGTATTCCAGGGAGATTCTATAGAAAAGGTCAAGGCTAGGCTATTGAAAACAGATAGGTCAAAAATGAAAGGTAATGTAGTCATATTACTTGATATTAATTTGAAGGTTATTGATCGTATATGGCTGAGTGTGAACAGATGTGTGACCCATTTTGCACTTTATGTGATCTGTAGAATGTGGCTTAACAAATCTTGCCATTCACTGTGTTTGTCATATGACAGAAACCTCAGGTCACTAGGCCAACTTATACAATACTGTGCATACATTGTTTGTATGTCAGTTTTTTCATGTGTAGCTTAAGATGCCGCAAGCATCAAACAGGGAAGCATTATGGACATTTCATATATTGTGTACCATACTGTTCAAGTATTGGAGTGACCTTGTTTGTACATTTTTCTGTAGAAGTTAAATTCCTCAGTCTTTTTAAGACATGAAAGGCAGAACTCTTAAACTTTGGAACTGTTAGCTAATTATATATGCCTTCTTACTTTTGACATAAATTAAGTATATAGCATTAAGTAATTTAGTGAAATTTCCTTACTTGATATTCTAGGTATTGTATAGGTGTTCAGGTAGTTATTCCAGCTTATCTTGTGGATTTTGTGTATACTTTTGATTTAATTAATTGAAAAAAGAGTGTAACTATTATAATGAACACTAAACTGTTGCAGTCATTCATTTATGAACATAAAATACTTGTTTAGAGTTATTCAATCTATAAATGAGCTGCGTCATGACAAAACCAACATAGTGCGTTTGCGAGCAGCATGGATCCAGACCAGCCTGCGCATCCGCGCAGTCTGATCAGGATCCATGCTGTTCGCTTACAAACCCTATTACAAGTAGAGATACTGATAGCGAACAGCATGGATGACACGCTCAAATAGTGATTATATATTTCAGATGTGGCAACAATAAAAATTCTGAGACACGAGTCAGCAAATATGATGAGGAAAATACCCGACTTTGGTAATCCTGAGAAAGGGAAAGTACTTTTAGGAGATGGAGTTACCTTCTCTTGGAACAGTCCAGCAGACGAAGAAGTTGTTGTCCAGCAGAATGGTTCTAAAGTTGCAATAAAAGAACTGATTTATCTTGTACCAGTCTCATGAAAATTACTGAAATAAACATGACATTGATAGTTTCACATTAGCAGCTTGCCGAACCCAACGTTTTCCTGTAAGATCATATCAAGTACTTAAAAGTTTTGTGATGAACAGACAATTGGATTTTTATAAATAAGAAATATATAAAAGTAAATGATCTGATAGCTCTGACATTAGTAAGTTCTGTGAATAAGTTTATTAATAATTTTGAATGATAAAACACAGCTCGACTTAAACAATAACATGCTTGTTTGCTCATGTATATTGCTGATGGTTTATTTTAAGTACACTATTTATTACATTGTATTGGCTCTCTGTAAGATTTTGATTATGATATTTGTAAGAAAATTCTCTCCAAAAAAAATAATGAATAGTAACAGTCAGTTGGATTTTTTTATCTTCCTATATGTTTTTGTGTATATATAATAACAGGGCCGGCTATTGTGTTTCCACTGACCCTGCCTTGTACTAGGCCTAAGGATGTCCATATTTGCCATGTTTTCAAGAATGGCCATATTTGTATTTAAAATCGCACTGTAAAAATAGTCATGAGATCAGTTTTCATAAAAAAATGAATTTATTTCTGTTATGACTTATTGTGAGGCTCGTGAGGGGCGGTATGGAACATTGTCCTTTGTCAAAGTAGTTTGAGAAATAGTAATGTTTTCTGTTTAAGTGACACTTGAAACAGACAATTGAATAAGGTTAATGATACAGAATGTATTCTTTTTCATATTTTTTTTCCTCTGCACCATTACCACTCTGTCACTACCAATTACGTTCAACTCGACCCCAATTCTATCTCTACCCAAAATTTGCCAACTCCCCTTCTCTGAAGAGTCCATCTAGTGTATTAAATCTCGACTTATCGCCCCGTGCTCCGGCAAATAGCGTGTTTTGGCTTCGCGCCGCACGCCATTTTTACTTGTGTATTCTCGACTTTTCGCTTGGCGGGGTAGATATGTCCTATGAGGGGGTGCAAAAGAATTGTTTTTGTGGCGGTGTAGCGGGGCAAAAACACGAAGTGACACTTATCGACCTCCATAAATTTATTTTGTAATCAATTTGCAATTTCACACAGCAATTGCGCATTAAATCTCAGAAACTTTCAGAAGCCCGCTGAGTATTTTGTATTGAAACGCTGTTGTCTGTGACGTATTGGGACAGCCCTTGCATCAAATGGGTCATCTACTGCTTAAGACCAATGCTACTACATGTATAAAGTTTTAGGGTCCATGGGTTGTCGAGTTATTGGTTTGAAACCGTTTTGGCATATGTCAATGTGACCTTGACCTTTGAACCCTGGACCCAAAAATCAAGAGGCCATCATCTACTGCCAAAGACCAATGCTTCTATGAAGTTTGAGGGCAAAGTGCCGATGGGTTATCAAGGTATTGGTCTGAAACCGTTTTGACATACAAGGTCAGGGATCATCTACTGATCAAGAAGAATGCACCTGAAAAGGCCTGGTAGTTGTCGAAAACAGATTTGGCATACAAGGTCAAAGTCACCTTGACCTTTTAGCCTTCAACCACAAAATCATATAGGGCATCTTCCTAAGATTAATGCATTTATGAAGTTTTAGAGTTCATCGGAAACATTGTGGGACGGACCGACAGACTTGCATCGTGCTGCAAAGCAATATGGATATTATAGACGTGAACGAGAAGACTTTTCATGTCTCGGTTACCATTTTATTAAAATCATGTACCACAAGATTAAAAACCGCGCATTAAATATATAGATCTGCCTAAAATATTGTATGCCGGGGAGTTGCATGTAGAAAGGGCCGTCGCAAAGATATGTAGACGTTCCTTCTACTATATCGCCTGGATTATAAGTGACAATAATGAAGTATCTAGGCCACCAGTATATACACAGAATAGCTTCGGATCCTTACAGTCATTGAGCGATAACATAGTACATTTGTAATATTTGAAATGGGAAGTTACATGTATTACACAGATGTTGTTAGCTTAATTTGGTATATCATATAGATGTATCTGTATCCGCCTTTATGTATACTCTAGATGGTTGTCTGATAACGTAAGACACTTTTCTTCCTTGTAACTCGATATCATGTAGGAAAAATGCAATGTCCTTGAAAATTGATGTACATTTCTATTTTGTAACTTGAGCTTTTTTGACTTGTATGTTGACTTAAGTTTGACTTTAAAGTATGCATATATGATAAACGCGTTCAAAAGCCAGTTTCAGCACAACATTGTCAATAGGCCTCTTCCTGTAAACACGAACGAAAGGAAGTTGATTATTATGACTGTTAAGTACATGTATTCCTGTACATGTAAAATATTTTATATATACATGTATTGAGTGTCTATCCTGCATTAGTTATACACGGCATTAGTAAACAAGAGAATGAACTATAACTACTTGTTGCTGGTTGCTTTTAGATTTCATATGGGGACTCTACTGAGATGATGATGGCACTAGAATTATTTTCCCAGGATTGTGAATCATTTGGTATAGGTTTGAACCAAAGACTTGTGTGCAAGTTTTCAGCTCATTCTCGGACCCCGTTTGTCCAGTAAATATTTTTTATCATGCAAAATGACCCAAAATGAAAAGTGTTTCAAGTTACTATTATCCTTCGCAGATTTTTTCATTTTAAGTGTATCACATAATCTATGTAAAAGTTTTAAATTTTATGTTTTTAGTTTTTTTTAATCTCAGTGAAGCTCCTTTAAAGCTGTAACATATTGTTAAAGGTTGAATTTAGCAAAGTCATGTTCTGGTATTTTATTTGTCGTGTAAAATCTGTTCTTTATAACTTAATACATGTGCTACGGCGTTCAGTAAATTATGCTGCAATGTGTCAGGAAATTGGTTTTAGTGTTATCTTTATAATAATCAATCATATATTACAATACCTTCCATAATACATATCAATTACCTTCCATAATACATATCTATTACCTTCCGTAATACATATCATCCATAATACATATCGATTACCTTCCATAATACATATCTATTACCTTCCATAATACATATCTATTACCTTCCATAATACATATCAATTACCTTGCATAATACACATCAATTACCTTCCATAATACATATCTATTACCTTCCATAATACATATCAATTACCTTCCATAATACATATCAATTACCTTCCATAATACATATCAATTACCTTCCATAATACATATCAATTACCTTCCATAATACATATCTATTACCTTCCATAATACATATCTATTACCTTCCATAATACATATCAATTACCTTCCATAATACATATCAATTTAAAAAATACACTACTCTTGGCCTCATAGCATTACAGTGCCGCAAACATTTAACGGACCGAAGCCAAAGGCTGCTGGATCACATCCTATATATAAGGATACTCTCGAATGCTCTATTCGTAGTTATCAATGAGAAGTGCACCTCGGGAAGATCTTCGAATTTTTTGGCCCAAAAGCGCTCCAAAATTCGACGGGAATCACTGTTGCTTTTATCGTATAGCCATCCTCAATTATCAAAGGAAAGTAAATTTGTAAAATAATAAGTAATGAACTGCAAATTCCATACTTCCCTGTAATAAACCTTTAATTTACCTTTTATAGGAGGGTAAATTTAATTAAATCTTTAATAATGATAATTTCATTGTATACACAAACACATGACGACGTCGAGATACGAACTTTTGATACAATAGCGTAACGTCTGCCCGTACGTCTCTTTACCGTCAGTCTGTCCGTCCGTTTGCCGATCTGTCCTATATCTCGTTGTCTGTCTGTCGTCGCCAAAACAATGTGACAATTTATTGTTACTTCAGTTGTTTTTAGACTATTACTTTGCCTTTTGAGGTCACCTGTCTATATATCTGTCGATATATCAAAATATATCTGTCGATATATCAAAGCTTATTGATCTTTCCGGTATTATAACACCAGGGGAGTGGGGGAGACTCTTTATTTCGCTTATTTAGGGCAATATTCAACGTAGTCCATGCCGTTTGCCTTACAGAGCACCCATGTTTCAAATTTGCAATTCATCGAATATAGAACCACTTTCGTGCATTATTATAGGGTAATGACACTGCTGTCCGTTTGACTTGGAGGCCACTATCGTGCTCTAGCTGAGGTCCTGAGTACCGTGTGCTCTTTCTTGTATTATACCCTACTTTATTACAATATATGATTTAAGTTGAGCAAGATCAGGAATCAAACTGTTTTGTTTTAAAACTTTCTAGTACTTAAAACTTTTAACAGTCAGAAAAAAACAATATAACAATACAGTATAGATCACATCATTTATTCAGCATCTTTTAATTTACACGTATAGACAGGACTGCTAGATTAGAAATGAAGGTTTGAAGAGTGCCTAACAAAACAAAATGCCATCAGATATCACTGATAAATGTGCTAATCATACAATAAGTTCCATAAATTTTAAAAATCTATATTGTAGACTAAAACGGGCCGTACCAGGGTGACAATGTGCTATTTTACAACTTTTCTAGTAAGTAGATGGTGAAAAAAGTTCTTAAAGAATTGTGATACAGTTGTAGTATTGTGACACGTTTGATGACCATCTTATATAGTCATAAATAGTAAAAGGTTTAACACAAGCTTAAAGCTTCCATAATGGCTAATATGCCTAAGATACTATATACCGAATATCAAACCCCCGGAACTTGCGTCACAGGTGCACAAAAATAAATTGTACAATCGCAAAAAATATACATTCGCGGTATTTAAATAATACTTGACCTTCATTAAAAATAATCTTCGCCTTTTATGTTTATGATATAGATTTAAAGGGATAAAGGATATCAATATTTTGTCGTTTGTATTTCGATTGTTTTTTTCACTAAGAGCCACTTTTTTACTGCCACATAATCAGGTTTCATCTCTATACATGCAAGGGTTGATGTAAAGTTCGAAATGAAAGATCTGTGATAGCTGCTTATCATGTTTCCATGACAACAAATTTCATTAACTAGACACACTTTTGATGATGTTTTTAGAGATATTTTCTGGATAATTATTAATATGTGCAAGTTTTTAATATCACATATATCCTATGGTGATATGATATTAATATTTCTATATTAAGAGTAACGACAACGCGGTAATGTCTGAAAATGTCGTTCTGGTAATCATTACTAACTTGGCTTATTCTATATAATTCATATAAATATGAACATAGAGATAAATACATGAAGTATTTTCCTGGTATGAATATAGTTGTGATTTAACCTTATTCTGAGGAGTTATACATTGTCATAGAAATTACTTTCTTAATAAAATACAGAAAATAAATGTTGAAATGTGACATTGTTCACATTTTCATTAAGTATATAAAGTGTAAAAATATTTATATATGTTTGGGTTATAATTAGTATTCATAT